GGGCGCCGCCGACCGGGACTCAGCAGCCCCGCCAGGCAGGTAAGGGGGCCGAAAACCCAGGGGTTTGGGGGAGCTGCGGGGCCGGGGCCGCGGGAGGGGGCGGGGGCGCCCCGGACGTCCTTGGCCGCGCGCGGGGCTCCGGGCCCGGGTGTGCGGTGGGGGGTGGGGGTGAGGAGGGGAGCGTTGCCCCGGGCGACGCCAAATTGGGTTACGCCCTGGTCCCCCGTGCCCCGTCCCAGATAGCAGACTTGAGGGGAGGATTCGCCCCCCCATCCCCCGCCAGTACGGCCCCCAGCCCGAACCCGCTTCCCCGCGCACCCAGGCCAAGGGCTCGGTTGCTGTACCCACCTCCTGGCCCAGCCCGGCCACTCCCCCGCCTCGCCCACCCTGGCCTACCAGGGCCCGTAGACCCCTTCTGCAGCCCCACTGCGCGAGGCCCCACCCCCAGGTCACCCCGGTTCCCTGCCCCTCCGTCGGGGGTCTGGGCCTTGGCCTCCTCCGCCCCCTTCGACCCGCTCTATCTCCTGCTTCTCCTTCTAGGCTCCTCCAGTCCCCTCCCATCCCCTTCACAAGCTCCCCTCATCCCCACCCGTCTCCTCTCCCTTCTTCACCGGCCGGCGCGCCCCCTCGGCTCCCGCCTCCTCTCCCCGGCCCGGGGCTCTCCCCCACCAGTTTCTCGGCCCCAGCCCCGGCTCCTCTCCCCGCCTTTCCCCGCCTCTCTCCGCCTCCATTCATTCTCCCGGGCCCCGCTCTCGGCCACACCAGCCGCCCCCTGTCCCCCCGCAGCCTCCTGGGGTACCCCCTCTCTCCCCTTCTCCCCCCCCCCCCCCCCCCCCCCCCCCCCCCCCCCACCCCTGGGGTCCCCCCCCCCCCCCCTTCCCCCCCCCCCCCCCGCCGATTCCTCAGCCCGTCTCAGTACCAGCTGCGTGCCAGCTATTCTTAGCCGCGGAGCGTTTGATTCATGCCGCCCCGGCGGAGTGTGCCCGCTCCCTCCCTCGGGCCTGAGGGGGAGGGGCCGGAGCTGGTCTGGGGGGTTGGGGGCGGCCACACGCGCGGGGGAGCCCGGGCCAGCTTTGCTTTCATCCCCCGGGCCACCCCATTAGTGCCCGGGTGAGGCTGGGGTCAGCCAGGGTCAGCCGAGGGGGAGTGGCCGCGGGCTCTGGTCCGGAGATGGGATGTGGAGTCCTGCGGGTAGGAGGCCAGGGGGCCTCCGCAAGGGCAAGGTGAGGCAGCTCTGCTGGGTACCTGGAGGGGGGAGGGGGCTTCGCAGCCTGGCCAGGCATGGGGGAGGGGTTGGCCAGCTCGTGGTTAAGCTGCTCGCTCACCCACAGCTCTTGGAACTGTCCTCCCTGCACACTCATTTTGTCTTCCCTCCCCAACCCCCCCAGCCCATCCCCACTCCCCCAAAGTCAGCAGTACCCTCCACTGCTTCCCATCTCCATGGCAACGGTGCAGGAGCTGGGCCTGGTGTGGGGGGGAGGGACCAGACCAGACATTCTGGTTTCCGGTGCTAGGGTGGGAGACTGGGAGAAGAAAAGGGAGGCAGACCCCATTTGGGACCCAGGCTTATGAGGCCACCTTGGGAGAGAATATTGGGGATGTGAAGATGACCTCCCACCCCAGTCCCCCAGACCATCACCCCCACTCTTAGCCACCCTCCCAGCCCCCCAGTCTCCCTCAGAGTGGATCCACCAGTACCAGGCAATGCCGATCCCCTGTCCTGTAGTGCCCATCCTCAGATGTGCCTGCAGGTTATCCACAGCCACCCCACACTGACCCAGGCCACCGCACTACCGGCACCAGCCGGCCCGCCCAGGCCAGTGTCCCCACCCACCCACGCCCTTCTCAGGATGCCCCCAACAGCCTGCAGAGGCCACATCTTGTGGTTCCCTTGGGGACGCCCCATGCATGATAGTTTGCCCCATGACACCCGCATCTGAGTGTCCCTGCTCCCCTGGGACACTGATTCCCAGCAGTCCTCTTGCACACGTTGTCAGCCACACTTGAGTGAAGTCACCAGCTCCACCGTTCCCGGGCACCACTCCCGGGCACCACGCGGCCTCCCACTTCTGCCGCCCCAGACTCACGGCACCCCTGTCTCCCCATTACTACATTCTAGCCTCCCCCGACCAGCTATCCGGGAGGAGGACGAGAGGGCCTCGGGTGAGGGGCCAGGCTGGGGCCAGGAGGGCAGGATGCCGGTGGGTCGTCCACCTGTCTGTCCTCAGCTAATTTTAGCTGCATTTTCCGTGGCCTGCCAAAGTGGGCCAGTAGCTCCCGCGGTGATTCTGCGGTTTCTGGGACACTGCCATGCTGGGTCAGCGGCAAAGTGGGGCGCAGGAGGGGTGGGGGGCTGCGAGCAGGGCCAAGGGCAAGGAAGGAGACGTGCTGGAAGCATGGCAGGGATGGGCGTGTGTGAGCAGAGGCGGCAGGAGTGTCTGGGGGTGTGTCCAGCCTCCTTCCTGCCAGCTTGGGGCATGTGGGGTAGCGGCCCTCGACCGCTCATCCACAAGGGTGCCTGCCGCCTCCAAAGAGTCCCAGGCTCCTCATCTGACAGCCGCCCTTGGCCCCCGGCAGCCGCCTGTGATGCTGCTGTCCCCTGTCGCCCCGTGGCCCCACGATGACCCACAGCCCCGCGTCAAGCGAGGACGAGGAACACCACAGTGCCAGCGAGTGTCCCGAGGGGGGCTCAGAGTCCGACAGCTCCCCAGACGGGCCCAGCAGAGGCCCCCGGGGGACCCGGGGCCAGGGCAGCGGAGCACCTGGTAGTCTGGCCTCCACCCGAGGCCTCCAGGGCCGCTCCATGTCTGTCCCGGACGACGCCCACTTCAGCATGATGGTCTTCAGGATTGGCATCCCGGACCTGCACCAGACAGTGAGTGACTGATGGCCCGCTGACCAGCGGGGGACAGGGACCCCAGCCCGCAGGAGGAGGCTTCTGGTGCTGGGCGTCCGCCCCCTTCGGGCCCCATTTCCAGACCGCCACATGCTTCCCCCAGGCCCCCCTCCTGTCCCCAGAATCACCCCCCCCACCTTTCCAAACCACCTCAGGCTCCTCCTCCCTGTCACCTCCCCAACCAGAAATGTCTGCGCTTCAACCCTGATGCCACCATCTGGACAGCCAAGCAGCAGGTGCTCTGCGCCCTGAGCGAGAGCCTGCAGGATGTGCTCAACTACGGTCTGTTCCAGCCGGCCACCTCAGGCCGCGATGCCAACTTTCTGGAGGAGGAACGGCTACTTCGGGAGTACCCCCAGTCTTTTGAGAAGGGGGTGCCCTACCTGGAGGTGAGGCCCACAGCCTGCCCAGCTTGGTCACAGAGGAGAGAAGGCTTTCCCTGTTTTTCTCCCAGTCATGCCCTTGCAAGGGAAAACCCAGTGGGCTCCTCCAGATCCCCTCAGCATTAGAGTCAGAGAGGCCTGAGTGCAAAGGACAGCGTGTTCTGCCTCTGATCAACGGAGTGGCCTTGGGCAAGTCACTTCCCTGCCCCAAGCTTCTCCTCGCCTTTCAAAGTGGGAAAGGATTCACAATTACAGTAGGTGTTCTAGAACATTCTGTGCGGGGTCCAGACTCCTGCTCCTCCACATCAGGGGTTGTAGTTCATATACTCCGCAGCAGCCCCGCACTCCTCTGCCACCCAGCCAAGGCTCCAGGGCTGTTTCCACCTTGACCCTGAGATGACCGCCCCCCCCCCCACTGGCTCAAAAGGAGTCCAGCCTCCTCCCCAGGCCCCTGATTCCAAGTCTCTGTGTCTCTCCCCTCATACACCCCTGGCCACAGTTCCGATACAAGACCCGGGTTTACAAACAGACCAACCTGGATGAGAAGCAGCTGGCCAAATTGCACACGAAGGTGAGAGAACCCTGCTGGCACTTACCCCCCAGCATCCCCCCCACAGAGACCCGGAGCCCTCCCCACCACCACTTTCCCATTTCCTCTCCCACCTGTTCCCCACAGCAGCCCTCCACATTCCCCAGCCCCTTCTGTTCCTCTGCCAGGATCCCCCACTCACTTGAGATGCTATGTTGCATTTGGGACAGCCCCAAATGCCATCCCCTTCTCTCCATCATAGCCCTTCTTCATTCCCCCCGCCCCTGCCCCTCATTGCTCTGCCCAGGCCCACACCATTTCCCCCTGGCTCCCACTTTCTTCTTCCTCGGGCTCTCCCATCTCATCTCTGGGTCCCCCATATCCACGCAGGGCCCCTGCCTCCCCCCCACTTGGCCGGACTCTGACACACAGTGTCCCTCTGCCTCAGGGCTGTTTTGTAGACACCCCACAGTTCCCCTAATCCCATAGCCTAAACCTCTCCTAGGATGTCTCCCACCCCCGGCCACATAGAGCCATGTTGCCCTCCCAGCCTCTGACCATATGTCTCCTATGTCTCCTCTGGTCCCCTGAGATCTGGGAGGAAGCCAGGGGGCTGCTTTAGCCAGAGGTGAAGAGAAAGATTCTTGACACTTGGGAAAAAAGCCCCTGGCCTCTCCTCACCCCCCACCCTGACCGCACCATGCATTCGTGTCTGTCCTCCCCCAAATATTCCATCCCTCCAGACCTGCGCCATCCACTCCGGGAGCCACCGGCCACATAACGGCTCCCAAGCACTTCTGGTGTGGCAGGTCCAAACTGAGACTCGCTGTGAGTGTGAAATGCACACCGGATTTCGAAGACTCAGTATCCCAAAAGAGTAAACTTTCTCATTGATAAATTTCCTATGGATTACCTGTTGATACGGTAATACTGCAGATATATTAGGTTAAAAAGATAGGTCACTAAGATGAATTTCGGTACAATCAACCGTGCCCCTCCTTTTTTTTTTTTTTTTAAAGGTGGCTACTAGAGACTTTTCAATGCCACACGCGGCTCGCTGTGTATTTCCACTGGACAGCGCTGCTCAAGACCCCAGCTTTTCTCCCTTGCTCCCTGACTGGCCTGTCTTCTCTCTCTTGTCCATGGCTCAGACGGGGTTGAAGAAGTTCCTGGAGTACGTGCAGCTCGGGACGTCCGACAAGGTGGCGCGGCTGCTGGACAAGGGGCTGGACCCCAATTATCATGACTCGGATTCAGGAGGTAGGGAGGGAACCAGGGGCTTTGGAAGAGGTGGGGGGAACCAAGAACGAGGCATAAGGGCTGCATGTGACTGGCCTTTCCTGCCCCTTAGAGACCCCCCTGACTCTGGCTGCCCAGACGGAAGGCTCCGTAGAGGTGATTCGAACCCTGTGCCTGGGAGGGGCCCACATCGACTTCCGGGCCCGGGATGGCATGACAGCGCTGCACAAAGCTGCGTGTGCCCGTCACTGCCTCGCTCTCACGGTGAGGTGCCAGACCCCCGGGACCCTCCCCCAGATTGCAGTGGTCCCCTAACGGCAGGCTGAACTGCAGCCAGTTGCCCCAGACCCGCCCTCCTCCTCCCCTTCATCTCCCTTGACCCCACGTGGCCATCTGGTCTCCCCTTTGCCTCTCATCTCGCCTCCTGGAGGTCCCCTCCCACGGCCCCACGGGGATGCCACTTCTGCTCTTCCCTCAGACTCCTCTCCCTTTCCTGTTTGTTCTCTCTCAAGCCTCAGTTCTTTAGATTTGTTAAAAATAGTCTCTCTTCGTGTCCCAAATACAAAGCCCCTTTCCATAGCCTGACAAACACGCAGACCCCATGCTCACTCCTCCAAGGGGATCTGAGACCCTCTGCTGATCCCCAGGTGCACCCACCCTACAGGGTGGGTGTCACACAGAGCTTTCCCCTGCAAGGGCCCAGGGAGATCCTAATACCTGTACTCTCCTGCTACCCAGACGTTCTGGTTCCCTCTGACCCGGCTTACCACCAACCCGGCCTCTGTCTCCCTCAAGTGTAGACCCTCCCTCCTCTGTTCCTTAAAGTACACAGTGAGCAACCTGCTGTGCCCCCAGATGCAGACCCTCCTCCACACACACAGACGCTGCAGACGCAGCCCCTCCCCCTGCTTCATAACTAAAATGCACTTTCCCAGATAGACAAACCCGTATCCCCACAACCTACACACATGGAGTTGGCTTATGTGGTCTTATTTTAAAATCTTCTTCCTCTCTCCCCACCCCAATGGCACTTGATCCCTCTTCATACACAGGTCAGGATAGACTGCCCCCAAAGATATGTAGCTGTTGATAAACACCCAGCTCACAGATGCTCCAGCTTAATGGACCCTCCCTTCCCTTTTCCAGCTGCCCTGAAGACCCTAAATGCAGTCAGACACCAGCCACAAAGATCTGCTTAGGCGCTAGGAAGTGACAGACCCTCGAGACGTACCCCCAGTCTGCTCCCTTCCGCCAGGCAGATCCTGCTCTCACCCCCACCCCTGGCCTCCAGACCTACTCTGTCCAATCCTGTAGCCACTAGCCACATGGGGCTGTTAGACTTAAATTAATTAAAGTGAACTAAGAGGAACATTTCTGTTCCTCAGGCTCACTAGCACATTCGAGCGCTCAAGAGCCCACATGTGGCTGCCGTGTTGGATGGGGAGGTTGCAGGCTGTTTTTGTCACTGCAAACATTCTGGGGGACAGCGCTGCTGCAGGCTGTCCTCACACGGCTGGGGCCGACAGTCCTCTAATGATGCTCAGCTCCACCAGCCTCTGTGCCCAGAGCTGTTCCTGGACGCCCCCTGCCCCCCTGCCCCCCAGCCCCCAGCCTCAGTGAGGCTGGCCCGACTCACCTCGGTCTGAGCTAGCCCTTTTCCCAGGTCTCTTTCTGCGTCCCGTCCTTGGGATCCGGTCCCATCCACACCTCCTGCTTGGCCAGGGGTCCTCCCGCGTCCAGACTCTGTTCTCATGTGGTCCCACATGACCGTCCTGCTGCTCGGAGGAGGCGCTGAGGCACCAGGCTCCTTCAGTGGCTCATCCAAAGTCAGCCACGGGTGGAAGGGCCAGGCTCAAGGTCACACAAGGGCATCGTGGCAGAACCCGAAACAGCCTTGGCCAGTGTGGGTCACCCAAGACTCCCTGCCCCACTGGTCCTTCAGGTTGAGCCAGTACTAGTGGGACTGTCTTCTGTCTTGTCTCCCTCCTCAGGCACTCCTGGACCTTGGGGGCTCCCCCAACTACAAGGACCGCCGAGGCCTGACCCCTCTGTTCCATACGGCGATGGTGGGGGGCGACCCCCGCTGCTGTGAGCTCCTCCTGTACAACAGGGCCCAGCTGGGCATAGCTGATGAGAATGGCTGGCAGGAGATTCACCAGGTGCTCCGGACTCGGCCAGGAGGGATTTGCGGGGGGGGGGGGGGTGCCTGGGCCCTGATCAGAGCAAGGCTCAGAGACCCTGGTGTAAAGAGCTGGGGATCCAGATGCTGGGGTCCTCATAGAGCATGGAGGCGGGAGGAGCATGGTCTCCAAAGAGAAAAAGATGGGAGGAGGCAACACCAGGACCCTAAGGGGGCATGGACTGGGGACTGGACATCTAGATCCCTGAGATGGGTGGGGATGGTCTCTTGAGCCTCTCGAGGGGCCAGGCCAGGCACCTGGGTCTTGCAATGACCCAGGAAGCTGACAGTCTGGGCCCCTGGGCAGGAATGGAGGCTGAAAGGAGAGGGAGAGGGAGATGCAGGGTTTCCTGGCCTCAGGCAATAGATACATGCCGTGGTTGGGAGAGTCTGATGTGGCCTCCTGGGTTCCCTGTCCCCCCCAGGCCTGCCAGCGGGGTCACTCTCAGCACCTGGAACACCTGCTCTTCTACGGGGCTGAGCCCGGAGCCCAGAACGCCTCGGGGAACACAGCCTTGCACATCTGCGCCCTCTACAATAAGGTCTGCTCTGGCAGTGCGGGCCCGGGTCCTCCCCCTGCCCCCGGCCTCCCAGCCTCCCTGCGTCCTCTGTTCCGTCACTGTTTCATTCATTCGTCCGTTCATTTGTTCGTTTCATTCATTCGTCCGTCTCCTTCATTCATTCAACAGATATTTACTGAGCACCTTCCCTGTGCTGAGGACCAGGCAGTGAGCGAGACAGACAGCCCCTCTGCCAGGCATGCCTTCCCATTACAGTCCAGTGTCGTGCGGGCTGGAATCTGGGCTTGGCCTTGGGATTGGGGTGGAGATGGGTCTCCGGAAAATGTGACACCTGTGCTAAGATGAGCAGGAGTCAGCTGAGTAGGAACGGGAGAAAGGGTGTTCTAGGCAGTGGGCACAGCCCGGTTCCACAAACCAGAGGGGAGAGAGCACATCAGGGCCATCGCCGGAAGGGAAAGTTGCTCCCCGGGCCCCCTTTCCTGTGTGTCTCCATTCAGCTGTCCGTGGAGCACCTGCTGTGTACAGTGCGTTTTGGGGGGGGTGCTGCAGGGGACAGAGGAAAGGCCAAACCACAGCCCGGAAGGGAACAAGAGTCTATTGCAAGTTGTAGCAATTCGGGGCTGGGTGGACAGCCCCCACCTCGGGAGTCGTGAAGGTGAGCAGTAAAAAGCCGGCAGGGAGCCTCACAAACCAGCCAGTTGTGGCTCTCAGCCTACTGACCCCAGCCCCAGGCAGATCCTGCGCAAGTCAGCCCCTCAGTCTCCTTCCCTGTATTCCAGGGCTTCCTGCCCTTGGAGGGGTGCCTCAGGGACTCCGCAGAGCAGGGCTTGGCACGCTGGTGCTGGTCTGCCAACCTCCTCTCCCCTTCCTCCAGGAAGTCTTCCAAGACAGCCCCATTCCCTTCTGCCTCATCAGAACTTACAGTGCCGGGGACGTGGCAGGTAGCCACGTGTTGCCTTGTGGCAGCGAGCAGTCTGCTCTGCCGAGGGAGAACTCGGTGTTTGTCAGACCCAACCAACGCGGTGCTGTCACTTCCCCTCCCCGGTGTTTCTGTCTCTCCTGCTCCCTGACGCAGGCCTCGTGCCCAGATCCCCCGGCTCCACGGCCTCTGCGCATGCCTGTGGGCAGACCACGACCCCCCAGACAAGCCCTGTGCCCTCTCCCAGGCTCTGTCCTCTCCCCGTGGTGGGGATGACGTCAGCTGATTGAAGGGGAGGAAAGACCATGTATGTTAAGCACTCGTCCCCCAGAAGGCAGCATTGTTAGTCAGGACATGGAAACCGTATTGTGAATTTCAACAGGGAAAACTTAGTATACAGATTAGAGTGTGGGAGCAATTTCTCTTAGTCGGATGACCCAGTCATTTCCCCTCCTTGAGCTTCTCCTTTCTCCTCCGTGCAATGGGTCAGTAACACCTACGGCGCGAAGGATCAAGTGGGTGGATGTTTTGCTTGCTCTTGGCATGGTGCTTAGCAAGTAGATGCTTGACAGATATAGTTCATTTTGTACTTCTCCCTCCCTTGTTTTCCCTCTCAGACCTTAAGCTTCCCAAGGGCCAGAGCTGGGTCTGACAGATTTCCCAGCTCTCTCCTCCTCTGGCCTCCTGACATGCCCATCTCTCCCCTGCTGGTGAAGGTCAGGTCCATGTTTACTGGCTGGGAGCTCCTCAAGGGTGAGGGCTCAGTCTAATCAATTACTCTGTCCCAAGGCCGCAGGACGTAGTAGGCCTCGGTGCATCTTTGTTGAATGAGTGAGTGACGGATGAATTATAAATCAGCTACCTTGAATTTGCCCCAAGACTACACAGAATCCCCCTCAGAATATTCAACAGGTGTTTGCTTTGCGATAGACTGAATGACTCAGTGAATGAATGAATGGCTTGAACAAATGAATTTTGAGTGACTCGGCTCCACATCCTTCATCCTCATACTTCCCTGTGCATGTTTCATGGGCACCTACCGATGTGAGATGAATCAGACTCAGCATGGTGCCTGTCCTGGGGAGTTGGGGGGGAGTTCACATCTGGCAAAGAGGCAGATGTGTAACGAGGAATTGCAATGCCGTGAGATCAGTGCTAGGACACCAGTAAATCGAGGTTCTCGAGGTGTAGGGTGAATTGCTGGTTGGGCCCGTGGAGATGGTCTGGCCCTGGGCTAGGCAAGATGGTGGTGGAGGCGGGCAGACACACACAAACACACACACACGGCAGTGAACAGTCTAATTGGGGGTCAGCATGGACACACTTGGACACACACACTCTCTCACACACTCACAAAAGCACCCAGAAAACTAACTGAGCTTACTTTGCTGTCCAGTGACTGAATTGGGCAACCTGAGCTGTGCGCCCATGAGACATAGATGAGCCCTAGGCTTCAGAGGCCACGTTTGAGTCCTACCTAGCTGCTCCACTCACCAGCTGTGTGACTTTGGGCACAGATTTGCCCTCTCTGAGCCTGTCCTATAGGATGGGACCATGCAAGCATCCTTGGCATGCTTGTTACACAGAGAGGGTGAGACCAAGGAGGTGCTTTGTGAATGCTGGTGGAATTGCATCAGTGGGGAGCTGGAGAGAGGAGTTGAGCCGGGGGCCAGGCTGGGTTTGGCCAGGCCAAGACAAAGGGTGGAAGACTTCAGCAACTGTTTATTGAACAGCTTCTGTGGCCCAGGCGCTATTCCAGGTGCTGGGTGCTGCAAAATCATGTCCTATATAAAACTCGCGATGTAGTGGGGGAGAGATGCTAACAAGACAAGTAAAAGAGAAATGTCATTTGACGGAGATAGGATTATGAAGAAAATGAGCTAATACTGGCTTAGAAGAATGCCTGGCATGTAGTCGGCATCATATAAATAAAAATAAAACAGGGATCAGGATAGGGAGCTATTTTGACGAGGTGGCCAGAGAAACCCTCTCCAAAGAGGTGGCGTTTAAGCAAAAACCTGAATGAAGTGAGAAAGTGAGCCATGTGGAAATCTAGGGGCAGAGAATTAATTCCAAGGAGAGGGAGCAGCAGGTGCAAAGGCCCTGGGGCAGGAGCATGCCTGTCAGAGGAAGAAGGAGGCCAGTGTGGCTGGAGTACAGGGAGTGAAGAAAGGCAGCAGAAGATGAAGTTGATGAGGCTGGGGGTAGGAGGGTAGGCAGACCAGGTGGAGGTAGAGCCTCTAGGCCATGGCAAGGCCACTGGGTTTGATCCAAACAGTGAGAGGGAGTGTGACATGGTTGACATTAGGAAGGCACAGATCTGGATGCGAACGGCATTCCTACCGCCCACTGCCCAAACCTGGCCCCCACTGCCCGCCTTCCTTTTGGGTCTAGCAGAATGCGTGATAAGAGCAAAGACTCTGGAGTCCGACAGACCTTGGTTCAAATCCAACCGCTGATAGTCACCAGCTGCGTGACCTGGGGCTCCTTGTGATGCCTTAGCTTCCTCGCCTGTAAAATGGGGATAGTAATTTCCATCTCGTGGGTTGTTGGACAATACAGTGAGCTTCCGCCTCTAAAGTGCTGAGCACCTGACATGCAACATAGGAAGCCCTCCGTGAAGCTTGGATTGGTGGCTCTCAACTGGAACACCCCTGGCCCCCAGGGGACATTTAGCAATGTGTGCAGACATTCTTGGTTTTCACAACCGGGGAGAGGAGTGCTACTGGCATCTAGTGGTAGAGCCCAGGGATGCTGCTAAGCATCCTACGGGCGCACAGGACTGCCGCCACCACAAAGATTTATCTGGCCCCAGATGTCAGGAGTGCTGAGGTCAAGAAACCCTGCTTCTGCTGAGCGCCATCCAACAGACTATAACACGGGTCATGCGTGTGATTTTAAGTGTCTCAGGAGCTGCGTTAAAAAGTAAATAGGTGACGTTAATTTTTGTAGCATCTTTTATTAACCCATGGTTTCCAAAAATATTATCATGTCAACATGCAAGCGATATAACAATTATTAGAGATACTTCGTTTTTTTTTTTTTTTTCATGCTAAGTTCTTGAAATCTGGTGTGTATTTTACACGTACAGCTCATCTCAGTTCGGACCGGACACATTTAAAGGGCTCTTGAGCCACATGTGGTAAGTGGCTGCTGTCTTGGGTGAGGCAGGTTTAGATCAGGTTGTTCCGGAAGTTCTTAGCCCAGTGCCTCTGTCTGCTCATGACCTTCACGGTTTCCTTTTGTTTCACCCTCTGCCGCCGGCGCCATCGCCTGCAGGAGACCTGCGCTCGGATCCTCCTCTATCGAGGAGCCAACAAGGATGTGAAGAATAACAATGGACAGACCCCCTTCCAGGTCTGGGGCTGGGAGGGCTGGTGGGGGGCCCAAAGAAGGCAGGGGGTGAGGAAGGCAGGACGGGCAGGGGTGCTGGTGGTCTGGGAGAGGAGGGAGGGGCGCAGTCGCTGGGGTGAAGGTTGGGGGGCAGCCGGCCGGGGACCTCACTGTGCTTCCCGCCCTCTCCCTCTGCTGCCTGGGCCGCCCCACCGCCTTGTGCCCCCTCCCTCCAGGTGGCGGTGATCGCTGGGAATTTTGAATTGGGGGAACTGATCCGAAACCACCGAGAACAGGATGTGGGTGAGCAAGTGGGAAGTGCGGCTAAGGGGAGAACCTAGGGCATCGGGGGTGCCTGGTGGGACGGGGGGTCAGCGGACTGAGCCTCTGGGCAGTAGTAGGGGTGCGATTCCAGGCCTCCACTCTCTCTCATGTCTTTCCCCCCTCATGCCTCTCTCCTGTCCTCCCTTGCCTGCATACCCCCTCCAACTGCCTGTCTCCCCTGCCCCTTCTGCCCCCTGCCACTGTGCCCTCTCAGTGCCCTTCCAGGAGTCCCCCAAGTACGCAGCCCGGCGACGGGGACCCCCAGGCGCAGGGCTGACGGTGCCCCCGGCACTGCTTCGGGCCAACAGTGATACCAGCATGGCCCTGCCCGACTGGATGGTGTTTGCCGCCCCGGGGACCTCATCCTCTGGGGCTCCCGGCCCTACCTCAGGGCCCCAGGGCCAGTCGCAGCCCTCGGCCCCCAGCACCAAGCTCAGCAGTGGGACCCTCCGAAGTGCCAGCAGCCCCCGGGGCGCCCGGGCCCGCTCCCCATCCCGCGGGAGGCACCCTGAAGAGGCCAAGAGGCAGCCCCGTGGACGGCCCAGGTAGGGGAAAGCTCAGCCCTGGTCCCACAGACCGCAGCCCAACCAGATCCCATCCTCGGAGCCCCAACTGCCCCCACCCAGGCTGGCGCCCCATCCACCCCCGTCCCTGGTCCCACCCTCAGGCCTCCAGATCTCTCTCCCGCTCCCTGAGGAAGGGAGGGCATTGTAAGCCACGGTCTTGCGCCCACCCCCAAATGTGCCAGTTTACCCAAGCACCTGCTCGATGCCAGGGGCCAGGGGTGGGGTGCCCAAAAGAAATGTTGGTTCCAGCCCCCGAAGACAGACAGACAGACAGGGCAAGGTGAGAAAAAGCCAAATGGGGTGGGGATGGGCGAGGGTCTTGGGGAAGGGTTTCTGAGCTTGGAGATGAGACCACGGGAGTGGGGGGGAGTGGAGGAGCCACTCAGGGTAGAGGGGAGGACGAGCAGGGGGGCATTCTGGGGGTAAAGAGGCCAGGCTGGCTAGAGGAGGATGAGAAGGGAGACTGTGGCTGGCCAGTATGTCCTGAGGACACGGGAGAGTGAAAAATCATGGCGGGCCGGGCATGGCAGGCAGAGGAGTTGGACCTGCACCAGGAGGAAGCTGGGAGTTTCTGAAGGCTCGTGAGGGAGCTGAGAGATGACACAGTCAGAGCTCTGCTTCAGGAAGCTGAATCAGGCACAGCATGCAGGGCCGTGGGAGGGGCAGAGCCGGAAGCCAGGAGGCAGAGGAGGGGGCTGGGGGGCAGCAGTGGGCAGGCGGAGGGAGCCCCCAAATGCCCTCTTCCCCCAAGGACGCCAGAGCTGGGAAACCCACTCAAACCCCCTCCCCCACTCTGATGCTCCATCTCCCCCTACCCCATGGACCCCTGTTCTCCCAGAGGTGCCCCTCCCTCCACTCTCCCCTGCCTCTCACACCCTCTGTATATGCAGCTCCAGCGGGACGCCCAGGGAAGGGCCGGCAGGGGGCACAGGGGGCTCGGGGGGCCCTGGGGGCTCCCTGGGCAGCCGCGGGAGGCGCAGGAAGCTCTACTCAGCAGTACCCGGACGCTCCTTCATGGCCGTGAAGTCCTACCAGGCCCAAGCCGAGGGGGAGATCTCCCTGAGCAAGGGGGAGAAGATCAAAGGTAACAGGGCAGGGCCGGGCCAGGCTGGGGGCGAGGGTCGGGCAGGGGAGCCAACCACTCAAGGAGAAGACAGTCAAGGACAAACAGTTCTCCAGGGCCTAGGCTGTCCAATGCACTCTGGGGACCCGAGAGAGCCCCTGGATGCCCCTCTGCTCCAGAGGAGCATGAAGCGTAGCTGCCCAGATGCCACCCGTCGGGAGGAGGTGTTGAGGCAAAAGAAGGGAAATGAGCATTTGGGGGACCCCGACACCATGCCAGGCCCTGTGGGAGTGGCCCCCCTGCAGGATTGGCCTTTCAGGAGGGTGTCAGGAGCCCCTCTGACTGTTGAAGGAACAGAGGAACAGTCTCACAGGTCAAGTGACTTGTCCCAGTCCCCAGTGTGAGCCCACGGTCTTTCCTGACACCTGGTGTGGAGCATGGGGCCAAGCCACCTTGACCTCACCTCCTGCCCCTGCCAGGTGCTCTCATCTGAGGAACGGGGTGGGGTCCGCTTCACGGGGCTCTCATGAGACAAGTGTTGGAAGCCAGGGCCATACTGAGGGCTTCCTGAGCGGTGGCAGCCGCTGCTGTTCTTGGAGTTTGCCTCTCTTTGGGTTTTCTGTCTTCTTCTGGAAAATGGTGCCAGTAGCCCTCACGTGCAGACTTCGCAGGGCTGTTGACGTGTGTTCTTGGATAGAATGAAGCTTGGAAACGGGAAGCAAGCAGACGTGGCAATTAATGCGAGGCGGGGGAGCGATTCTTTGCCGACTCTAGGCTGCAGGGGAGCTGAGTAGTGTAGCGCTGGAGGGCCAAGCTGCCTGGGTTCAAATCCTGGCTCTGCCACTTCCTGGCTGGGCACCCTCAGACAAGTGACTTTTCTCTGGGCCTCAGTTTCTTCCTCTGTACAGTGGGACCCTGGTGAGAATTTAAAAAGTCAGTTCCCTTGAAGCACCCAGGACAATATTGAGCACATAGCAAGCGCCAATGATCGTGATCCTCAGCGGGCCCCCATGACAGGAGCTTAGAGGGGAGAGAAAGAGACCCTGGCTACCCGTGAAAGCTGGGGGTTCCTCCCATAGGAGACGGAGGTTGTGTGGGGCCTTGAAGCACGTGCAGGGATCAGAGGGTCAGGTGGGTCGTGGATCAGCATCCGTTTTGCACTATCTCTTCCCATAGCCTGAGTTCCTGAAGGCAAGGTCACGTGTCATTGATCTCTGGGTTGCCAGGGCCCAGTGCAATGACCCAGGACACAGGAAGCCTCAGTGCACATCTGCTGAATGAGTGAATGAGTGAAAGGCCAGATGCAGGAGCAAACTGTGGGGGCCAGGGGCAGTGCCTCCAGAGGCAGGGTGCCTGGGAAGTGTGCGTGCGTGTGTGCGTGTGTGTACATGCACACAGGCACGCACACATGGAGGGTCAGGTCGGTGCTTTGAGACAGAGTTTGCAAGAAGAAAGGGAAGCTAAGGTCTGAGGGGAGGACCTTCCGTGTGTGGTATCTTCCAAGTTTCTTTCTGAAATTCAAGCCCGATACTTCCGTACACTGCCCCATTTTTGTGTCCTTCCCTTTCATTAAGACATTTAGTCGCTTCAAAGCCTGCCTCCATCCATGATGCCACTGAAGGTTCGCCGCATCCCGATGAGGCAGCAGGCTCCCTCTGCTCTCAGGCCAAAGCCCGGTGCCTGAACCTGGCTTGCCAGCCCTCCCCTGCCCACCCACCAACCGCATCTCATGGCACTCTCTCCTTCCCCCACAGGGCACCAGGGACCTCCTTCTCCCCATTGCTCACATGCCCCAAGCCCTTTTCCACACCAGGCTCTTTGCAACGTGCTGTTCCTTCTGCCAGGACAACCTTTTCCCCCCTCTCTTTGCCTCTTCAACCCCTAGGATCCTTCTGACCAGTCTATATGTCATGTCCTCCGAGACACCGTCCTGGCCCCCCTTTGCTGGCCTCTCTTCGGACACCCCATCCTTTTCCCCTGGAGTGCTGACCTTAATTTTCAATCATGCGGTCCCTTACAGAGTTACGCTTCCCACAGCTGCCAGCGTGGAAGCTCCATGAGGGCAAGAACCACAGTGGCTGTGTCCAAGAGTGCTCTACCCAGTGTCTAGCCTGGTGCTTGACTCATGACCGGCACTAAATAAATATTTGTTCAGTGACCAGACGATTGATTACATGACCACCCAGCCGGTCACTGGTAGGCTAGCCAAGAACCTAGACCCCCTGTTACCCCCTCGCCTGTTCCCTTCCATGACCTTGGGCATCTCCTCGATTTGGTCTCCCCAGTGAAGCAAAGAAAAGCACCAGGGGACCCCAACTCAAATCCCAGTGTGGCTTGAGCCATCTCTGGGGCCAGGGACTTTTCTGCTTTAGCTTCAGCTTCTTCGTCTATAAAATGAGAAATCAGTTGTTGCCTACCCAGGTAGGCGTGAGGGAAGTATGCGAAGGGCCGAGCGGAGACAGAGCCAGGAAAAATGAAGAAATGGAAGACTGTGCGTCTGTTACTGTTGCCATGATCATCAGCATCAGAAGCAGCAGCAACACAATGCTTGAACAGAGAGGTAGCAAAACACTATGACTCAAAGCATTCACGGTGGAGACAGAGGTGGTGTTCAAATCCAGGCTCTATGGATTACAAGCCGTATATTCTGGAGCAACTGACCTCGGCTCCCTGAACCTCGGTTTCCCTACTGGCCAAAGGGGTTTAATGAAAGTGTCCCTTCTTAGGGTTCTGGTCACCAGTGAGAACTGTATAGACGTTAGCAGTCCCTGATGTCCGTCTTTGTACTTGAGTGGCCGGCGCGCACACACACACAGACACAGAGCGGGCGGTCAGCAAACGTGTGCCATGTGTGGCTAAGAGATGGGGCCAGCAGGAAAGGGCCTCCAGTGACAGGTGGTGGAGAGGAAGAAAGATGTGATTCTAATCTCTTCTCCTGTCTAGAGCCAGGGGAAGCAAAGAGAGGCAGAGGGCAGGGGCTGGGAGCAAAGGACAGAAGTTTAAGTGGCCAGGAGGCTGTGGGAGGGGGCGGGGGCAGTGGCGGGACTGCAGAAGGGTTTAGGGAGTCTAGGAGGGCTTCACGAAATTACAGAACACCCGAGCTGTGACTGGTTGGTTACCAGGGGAGGTGAGGGCCAGTCCTGGATGTGTCCCTAACCTGCGAGGACCATGTCACAGCCCTTTCTCCCAGTGCCTCTGGATGTCCCCACTGGATTCAGAAATCAAGAAGGCAGGAATGATAGGATTTGATTCTTCCCCTCCCCCTCATCCCTTCCTTGGACATTTATTAAGGATGCCCTTGGGCCAGGCCCTGTGCTAGGTGCTGGGGAATTGTGGCAAAGCTGTGCATCGAATATGTTTGGGGTGGGGGGTGACACGGAAACACAGAAATGTTTCTATGTCCCTGCTCCCCACCCAGTGCTTAGCATCGGGGAAGGAGGCTTCTGGGAAGGCCAGGTCAAAGGTCGCGTTGGCTGGTTCCCCTCTGACTGCCTAGAAGAGGTGGCAAACCGCTCCCAGGAGGGAAAGCAAGGTAATGAGGACTCCCTAGTTGTCCCCGATCATCTGAGGGTTGTCCCAACGGGGGTGGGGTGCTGGGAGGTAGAGGGGACGACATGGGCCAGGACCCCCAGGGGTGGGCCCATGGTTTCCAGAGTGAGGGTCCAAGGTCGTCCCTTGTCCCCCTGCAGAAGGCCGCAGTGACAAGGCAAAGAGACTCTTCCGGCATTATACCGTGGGCTCCTACGACAGCTTTGATGCCCCAAGGTAAATGTCCTTACACCCTCGGGTGCCCCTCACCCCAACCTACCTTCATACTCCACCTTTAAATATTTCCACCACCTTCACGCCTCCTTTCTTCTCCCTCTAAAGTTTGATCCAGAGCTGGGGGAAGGCACAGTTAGCTTCAGACCACAAGCCCAGTCCCAAACCATCCTTGGCAGCCACTGAGGCTGCCCAGGTTTGGGGTAGCCTGAGACCAATGGGGTGGACAGATAAGGATGGGGATGTCTGGGGACCCGGGGAGCTCGCGTGTGTGGCTGGCTGGAGGCCTTTGTCTCCTTCATGTGCCCCATCTCTGTGCGGTCATGTGCAGCAGAAGTGTATGCATCCCATGCCTCGCACGGGCGTGGGGAGAGGGGCAGGCAGAGCTGGGCCAGGAGGGGTGGGGGTGGAGAGATGGGCACACTGACACCTTTCCCCTCCCTGGCTGCTGGCTGACTTGCTTCAGAAGCTTGATGGATGGGATTGGCCCAGGGAGGTGAGAGGGGAGGGGAAGGGAGGGCATGGGGTCAGGAATGGGAAGAAAGGGGTGCCTGGGGCTGTATGGACTTGGGTGTGCACGACCGGAGCTGGTTTCCCTGTGCGTGAACGTCGTACACAGGCGAGCGTCCTTGTACGGATGCCCTGAGTGTGTCCTTGCCCCTGTGTCTCTGTAGGTGCGCATGACACGTGTCTGTGTGCATGGGTGGCTAGAGGCCCCTAGACCTATAGCCATGTGCCTATATATGCCCATGACAGCGAGAGGGTCTGTCCTACTCTGTATAGATGGGTGCATTTGTGGCCGTCATTTATGGGCGCACGATTGAGCCTAATCGTGCGGCTGGCACTGCGCATTTGTGTTTCCCTGAATCTGTGTGTCTGAGAATGAGGGCAAGTGTTTCCAGGGATGTCAGTGTGTCTGCTTACCTTGTATGGACAGGTGGGTTTTTGCACACGTCTGTCTCTTTCTATGCATGTCACTGTGCGGGCATGTTAGCCCAGAAAATCGTGTGCATGCATTTGCATCTGTCCGATTGATCTGGAATTCAGGACCTGGGGCCCTGGGGGAGGGGAGGACAGAAGAGGGGAGGATTCCAGGGCTTGGGCTTCCAGAAGGGCAAGACCGTGGGGGAGGGATGGTCATAACGGGTATCTGAAAGATGGCACCCTCCCCCACCGCTCCCCCCATCCAGGGAAGGGTCTCCTTGTTTGTAGCATCCTTCCATTAAATGTGTCCAAACCTATGTGTCTGTGTTCTGGCCAGTGGGTATGAGTGGGGGGGGGGGAGGTTGGGGGGAGAGAAATAACAAGATGGGGAGAGAGGGTGGGGCTGGGGTGCCACCCTGCGCCCGGAGTGTCTGAGGCGTTTGACCATTGTGCGTGTTCACCTGGCACGTCTCTGGCTCTGGGCACCGGGTGAGTATCAAGGTCCCCCCCCAACCCCAAATCTCCCTATCAGCCTCTGCTTCTTGTCTCTGACAGTGTCTCTCTGGGTCTCTCCTTGGCCTTGTTTTGGGAATCACTTGTTCTCCCAGCTGGATAGGGGTGCTCCCTCTTGCCCTCAGCTTCTTCCTTCTGCTCCCCTAGCTCCGTCAACTTCATCCCCTCCCCTTCTCCTTTCCTCCTTGGGCCCACTGGCATGTGCTGCACTGTGTGGTGTGTCTGAGCCTCTTCCCCTCCTGCCTACCCCCTGCTCTCCCTGACCCTGTCTGAGGTGGCCTGGCCTGTGGTGTGTGCCCTGCATCCCTGCTGGAGCTCTGAGGTCCTGGCCTGTTGGCACCCTCTCTCCTCTCCCTGGGGGTCTATGCCCTCTCCTCTCTCAAGTGAGCTGCAGTGTGTGTATGTCCCTCGTCTGGGCTTCTTTGGGGGCGGGGGGAGGGGTGTCTCTCACTGCTCTGGGGCCCAGTCTCAATGTTTCTAGCCTTCCCTTCCTGGCCCTTCCAGACTGTGTCAGGGTGCATTATGTGTCGGTCTCCGATGGGGGGCTGTGCGTCCCCTCCTGGGGCCTCTCTCACCGTGGTATCCTTGCCTGGGAAGTGGGGCTCGGTTCGCGCGTCCCCGCACGCGGTCGCGAGGCATCTTGTATGGTGGTGTGCGTCTCTCTCCGCTCTCCCTCGCTCTGCACCTGCGCGGGAGGGCTCTGGAGGGGGGAGGGGGTTAAGGGGGGGCCCAGACCGGAAGTGCCTCCCCTTCTCCTCCCCCCCGTGCCTCGCCCCTCCCCCTTCTCCCGCCAAGGGGGCCCCCGCGTTCCCCTCCCGGCCCCCTCCCCCCCTGCCCGGCCCCCTCCGCCACCCGGCGCAGGACGCCAAGGGGTTAAAGCCTCGCGCCCGCCGCCCGCCTCCGGAGCTGTCCGCGGTGCTGAAGCCGGCGCCTTCCGCGGTCCTCGCGCTCCCGCCGCGGCCCGACCCCGCGCCCCGCGCCCCCGCGCCCCCCCGGCATGTGAGCCCCCGGCCCTGCCCTCCCTCCCGCGGGAGGGTGCGCGCCCCCTCCCCCTCCCCCCTCCCGGCGCGGGTCAGCATGAGGCGGGGCCTGGGGGCCCGGACACGGGGGTTCGGCCGAGCGGGGACGGGGACGCGGCGGCGGCGGCGGCGGCGGGGGCGGCCGGCACCGGGACCGGGGCCGGGGCCGGGGCCGCGGCGGCGATGGCTTTGTCTGCGGTCGGCGGCGGCGGGGGTCTCGGAGGCGGCCCCGGTGGGGGCTCCCTGCCGCAGCCGCCCCCCGCGCTCTCCTCCAGCTGGCCGGCCCTGGGGCCCCGGCGGCGCAGCGTCTGGTACATCTACAGGTAACGGAGCGCGCCGCCCCTTTTCTCCGCGGCAGGCTGGGAGGCCCCGGCCCGCTGTGACGACCCTCCCCTCGCCGCTAATCCCCCAGCCTTGGGACTCCTCCCCCCTCAAGCCGCCCCCCCCACCCTCTCTCCCCTCACCTTCCCTCAGTGATAAACCCTTTTGGACCCCTCTTCTCAACCTTTTTCTCATCCCCGTCCCTGGGCCTCTCTCCCCGAGGCCCCCCCACACACACACACACTCCTCAACCCCTTTCCAGGCCCTTTCAGACCCCCCTCATCTCTTCCTCCGAAACCTTGCCCCCAGTCGAACCCTCCAAACGGACCCCACTCCGGGGTTTGGAGCCCACTACCGCTTTCTGCCCCCCTCACCGCCCCCACTCTGTGGAGCCCTCCCCATGGGGAGCCACAGTGACTCCCCCTCAGGCACCTACATTCCAGGTCCCTGTTCCTCTGATCCCCATCTCCCCACACCCCTTTACAGAGTTGGCAAGTCTCCTCATTCATACCCCTCTCTCCCATTCACAGTCATCCCCCCATCACACACACATCCCACCCCCGGCCTCCCCTCCCCTCCTCTTTTTCCGCTGCGTGTCACTGTGCGACTGTGCATGTGTCAGTGTGGCTGTGTCGACGTGCGTGCGTGTGTGCCTGCCTGCAGCCACGCGCGCACGGCTGTGTGTGTGTGTGTGTGTGTGTGTGAAAGAGAGAGACAGAGAGAGATGGAGAGATGGTGGGCTCCCAGTCCCCCTCCCCCAGCTGTGTCCGTCTGTGTGTCCCTGTTTGATGGTGTCTATCTCTGTGTGTGACTTGGAGCGATAGAGAGGCTGTCTGAGGATTGTGTGCGTGTGCGTGTGTGTGTTTGTGTGTGCGTGTGCGTGTGTGTGTGATGGAGTGGGTCTGTCCCAGGGACTGCGGCTGTATTTCCCATTACCTATCCTCTCATGCCAGGCCTGTCCCCTCCCCCCCGCAGCCCCCCCCTTTCTAGTCCCTCAGTGTGTCTCTGTCCCCATGTGCCCCACTCCCTGCCTCCAGGGGGTCTGTGCCGGTGTGGGGCATGTGTGCTGAGCCTCGGCTAAGCGTTTGCACGGGGAGCTGCATCTGCCTGTGTGTGCCTCTTCTTAGCACAGGAGGGGGCTGGCTTCCCTGCGAGGGGGCCTCTGTACAGGCCGTGGAGAGACCCATGGAGATGGGGACATGAGGAGGGGCTGAGTACCAGAGGGGGTGCCTGTACAGCAGCAAGCTCTGGGCTGTGGGATCCTGGGTGTGTGAGAGGCGCCTTTGGGATGGGGGTGGGGGGAGTGGATGCTGCTGCAGTCTCCGCGTGTGGAATCCGGTGAACAAGAGCTGGCCGCTGAGCTCCAGAGGCCACTCTGGGGTCGCCGAGGGATGGCCTGGGGGAGAGCACTGTGTGTGCTCCTGCAGGGCAGGTAGTCAGCAATACCAGCCTGAATGGGGTGTCGCGTGGGTAGAGAATGCTGGGCCAGGGGTGGGGTTAGAGGGTCTCAGTAGGAGGGTGGCTGATGAGATTGGAACAGGGGAGAGCGGAGGACACTGAAGTGGGGGAAATGGGGGTGCGGGAGCACACAGGGTGCGTGGGGGTGTTTGGAGAAATAGGGTGAGGACAGAATGCAGGAACTGTGAGGAGGATTTGGGGGTGGGGAGGGATCCAGGCAGCACAGGGAGAGCACAGAGAGGATGCAGGGAATATAAATGAAATGCAGCTGCATGTACCAGGAGGCGGAAGGGTGTGTGAGGAAGTGAGTTGATGCAGAAGTAGAAAGAGGCTTCCACGGATGAGAGCGCGGGGGACTGGGGAGTATGAAAGGAACCTAGGGTGCCGTAGGGGACACAGTGGGGCTGCATGCAGGGGTGTGAGGATGCGGGAGGGGTGAGGCTAAGAGAGGGGGCATATGAGGGGTGAGGGTCTGCGGAGGACACTTTGGGGAAGGGGATAGGAGGTGTGCAGGGGCCGAGTAGGAGGTGGAGGGATGGCCCCATGGGGGTGTGATGAGGGCTGGTGGCACTGAAAGTTAATGCGGGTGGGTTGGGCCAACACGGAGCTCTCCGATGGCATGGAGGAGCAGGGAGCAAGGTGCTGAGAGGTGAAGGGGCACACACAAGAGCAGAGGATGGGGGGCACAGAGTTTAGGGAAACTGTTGGGGCAACAGGGCAGGTGGGAAGTTGGAGGAGAACGTGGTGGGATGAGGGAAGCATCCCATGGCCAGGGATTGGGCAAGAAAGTCATGGGAGTGTGGAGAGAAAGGAGCCTGTATGGGACGGGGATGCTTGAGAGAGAGGGACACAGGTGGTGGTGTGATGATCTGGGGGTGTTTGGACGTTATTGGAGTGTATGGGTTGCCTGTGAGGAATTCGATCCTTGGCTTTGACACTTTTCTAGCTGGTGTGATCTTGAGCATGTTACTTCTCCGTGCCTCAGTTACCCCTCCCAGGGGTGTCGTGAGACTATGTGAATAGATAAATGTTAAGTGCGTGGAGCGGCATCTGGCATTCAGCAATGGGTCAGTAAATGTCACTCATTGTTGTGCTGATGGCATAACCTGGGATAAATTTCAGGCACCGAAGGGGTGGATGCTTATGGCCAATTTGGGGCAGATATATATGCGCTTGAAGTATTTGGGTGCAGTGGAGTGGACGGTATTATAACTGCAGCCACCCAAGTATTTCTTCTGTGTTTCTGAAGATTACTCACTGTGTGACCTTAGGCAAGTTGCTTAACCTTTCTATGCTTCTGTTTCCTCACCTATAAAGTGGAAATAGTACTTATGCCTACCCCAGAGGCTGGCTAGGACAGACAACTGAGTTACTCACCTGTGAAGGGTTTCAGATACTGCCTCGCACATAGCAAACGCTTCTTTCTGGCATGCAATGGACATGGGAGTTCTATTGAATTATATTGGGGGATGGGGTACTTGGGGGAAGGCTTGTGTCTGGAGTGTGAGGATAACGTGGGGGTAAAGGAGAGATTCCAGGGGTAGGGGAAAGACGTGGGAAACATAGGGATTTGTGGCATGAACAGAAGAAAAAGAAACGGTTGCAAACGAGGGATAAAGGAAGTCCCAAGGGCAGGCTGTCTGCTGGGGACCTGGAGGTCTGGAGGGGGTCTGGGGGTAGCGGGGCATAAGGACTCAGTGGAAGTGGCCAGGTGGGGACAAATGTGGGCGTCGCAGAGTGCATGGTCAGGAGCAGGCAGCTCTGGCCTCTGAACCAATTTCTGTTGGCCTGGTCCTTGGCCCCTTCCTCCTCTCTTCCCCTCCCTTCCCTCACCCCCTCGAAACTCCTTCCCTCTTCTCTTCCTACACCCCTTCTACCCTGCTACAAAGGTGGTCTCTCCCTGGCTTGAATGTAAGCTCGAGAAGACATGGTGGGTATGGTGTGGTATGTTGACCGGACCATGGTGAACCTTGAGCGAGAGAAGCGGCTAGGTCTGCCCGCGTGTATACACATGCTGTTGAGCACACCCAGTTACAATAAGGCGGACGGGGGCAGGGCTGGCGTACACGCGCATGTGCAGAACGCTGTCGCTGGGGTACAAACGTATGGATGTGACAGTGACAGTGGAAGTCGTGGGGGTCATGGGAGTACACAGGGGTGCTTGTGTGTAGGGGGAATGGTACCGAAATACGGTAGGAGCATGGTGGGTATTATTGGCGTGTGCTGGGATGTGTTCAGGGGGCGTGTTATGGGAATACACTGAGATCCAAGTGAGGGGGAGTTATTATTGGAGCATACTGGGATGTGTGGGGGGCGTTACTGAAATCTACTGGAGTATTCGTGGAGGGCTGTTTTGCCGAATCTGTGGGGGTAGGTAATTGAAGCACGCGGGGAGCATGCTTGGCTATTATTGGAGTGTGTTGGGGCTGGTGGATATTATTGGGATCTGCTAAGGGGTCTGCATGTGTGCTGGACAGGTCTCAGACGTGACCACAGGATGCTCGGGGTGCAGCAGGGCGTGCATTCTAGTGGATGGAGGGTATTCTTGGGGCCCCGAGGGGAGTGGGGTTGGAGTCAGGGTGTATGGGTATTCCTGTTGTATACTGGGGTTCCTGGAATGGAACGGATATATAATCTTGAGGCACACTGTGGTGATGTCAAGGGTTTGAGGCTGTTATCTGAGTGAGCCCAGGCAGGTGTTGAGATACATGGAATAGATTTGAGTTTAATTGAACTTTCCTGGGTATGGGAACATTACCTAAATGTGCTGACAGGCTTTGGTGGCCTGATGGTGGCGACTATCTGCATATTCGTGAGTAGTTTGCATTTTTACTAGAACCTATCCACTGCATGAAGGAGATACATCTGAGATATACCAGGGAATAGATAAGTCACTGCTGCTCACTAGAACTTTCTGCAGTGATGGAAATGTTCTGTATCTGCACTGCCCACCATGGTAACCACTAGCCACATGGTGGCACTTTGAAATGTGACTAGTGAGACTGAGGAACTGAATTTCTCAATTTAATTTGTAATTAATTTGCATATAAATAGTCACACTCATTTAGTGGCCACCATATTGCACAGTGCTGAGTAAGCGAGGCTACAATCTGCTTGGGTACCTGGGGAGATGTTACTGTAGTTTATATATAGTCAAGGAGTTGGCAGGGCTATCATCAAAGCACACGTGTCCTGTCGACTTAGTAACTTGACCGAAGACCTTGAAGGAATCCTACTGAGCCCGTACTTCTATGTGCCCAGCACCGTGCTGAATGCTGTATGTACTGAACTCCCACAGCGACCCCGTCTGGTGGGGCCTGTTATTGTCTCACATTATAGATGAGGAAATTGAGGCCCAAAAGGTTAAAGCCTTGGGCTCAAGGTCACAGATAAGGAAGTGGCTAGCAGGGGCTCAAAGCAGGCTGTCTGGTGATCTGGCGGCTTACCTCCCCATCCCTTGCACTGTGCTGGCACACAGTGGGCTTGGAAACTGCTTGCTGAATGGATGGGTGGATGGATGCACGGATGGATGAATGAGGAAAGACTGAGTGGGAGAGCCAGCACTCCGGGCTCTGAGGGGGAGGCTGCGAGCAAACACACACAGAATGGGTGAGGAAGATCTAGGAGGTGGGATGAATGGTTCTGGAGCAGGGGCTCAGGTCACCGGGTTGCTGGTGGAGGTTGGACTCCATGTCTCATAATCCCTTCTCCACCCCCCACCCCCCACCCCCCACCCCGCCCCCTTGCCAGCGATTACATCATTAAGGAGAAGACAGTCTTGCTGCAGAAGAAGGACAGTGAGGGGTTTGGGTTCGTGCTCCGGGGGGCCAAGGGTGAGTGCTGGCTGGGGAGGAGATGGGAGAAGGGCTCTCTGACCCAGGGGGATGGACAGGGGAAGGGACCCCAGCCCACCCACCACCCCACCCCCAGGGTGCTGGTCCCTCAGCTACGGTGAGGCCTCTGTGACTTGGGTCTGAGCCCCATCCCCTGCTCGGCCTCTCCACCCCCTCCCCTCCGACCCCGCCGACTCCTCCCCATCTGCAGCGCAGACCCCCATCGAGGAGTTCACCCCCACTCCGGCCTTCCCGGCACTGCAGTATCTGGAGTCTGTGGACGAGGGTGGCGTGGCATGGCGAGCTGGACTTCGGATGGGAGACTTCCTCATCGAGGTGAGTCCTGGCCCCCAGCCCCAAGGGCCTTTCCAAGTGCCAGCCTCCAGCACACCTTCCACAGATACTGCTCTCTCCCTGGGATCCTGGTCACAAAAATCCCCAGGTTCCTCCTGATCCACACCAAATACGGCTGCCCAAATCCAGATTCTCTTTCAGCACCAGGCCTCCCAGCCCCCCCAGCCCACCCCCTAGCCGGCCTCTGCTTTCTTCAATGATTCCTTCCGAAGGCTTCTCTGAGGCACCAAAAGAAAACAGAGCTGTTCCCCAGGACACACACACACACACACACACACACAATGCAGGGGCAGGGGACAAGGAGGGGAGAGAGAGGTGAATAGGGTGAACCCAGCCCCTTCCCCAACCCTGGGGCCAGGAGAGTTACCAGAAGAAGTGGGGCCTTGCAAGGAGAGGGGGTGATGGTGAGGGTCAGTGAGAGGGAAGAGGCCAACAGTGCTACACACAGGGCAAGGCGGGAGACCTCTCTGTTGGGGACTCTGAAGCTGAAAGCATCCCTCCCCTCACCTACTCTGTGTGGTGTGGGGGTATCTGTGCCACAGGTGAACGGGCAGAATGTGGTGAAGGTTGGCCACCGGCAGGTGGTGAACATGATCCGCCAAGGGGGCAACACGCTGATGGTCAAGGTGGTGATGGTCACCAGGCACCCGGACATGGATGAGGCTGTCCATAAGAAAGGTGCTTGTCCACTTTTTGTGTGTGGCCAGACCTGGGCACCCCACTGCCACCAGACTAAGATCCTCAGAGGTCCTAATGGCCTAATGGTCCCCACCACTGGCCTTCTGTTCCCCAAGGCTGCTTGTTCATGACCCTTCTGGAGGAGAAACTGAGGCAGGGAGGGCTCAGCATGCTGGGGGCAACTGTTATCTGATATCTGGGAGCACTGCAGTGGTGGTGGGGGGTGGTTCATGGGCCTTCTCTCTGCGGTACTGATGCCTGACCCCACCGTCACCTTTTCAGCACCCCAGCAGGCTAAGCGGCTCCCGCCCCCAGCCATCTCTCTGCGTTCCAAGTCTATGACCTCAGAGCTGGAGGAGATGGGTGAGCCCGTGGGGCTGCTGGGGCCCAGGCGCTGGGGAGGGGGGCGCGGGCAGAAGGGGGCTGAACCAGACCTTGAGTTTGTTAGTGTTGTTAGTGACCAGGGGTCCTGTTCTCATCCTGTTCCCTAGTCCATGGGTCAGACTGTCTCTGGCCTGCGTGTGTGTTGCTGGGAAGGGGCGTCTGAGAGTCGACCTTCCTTTGTCCTCTTATATCTGTTTCTCTGTCGAGTCTCTCTCTGGGTCTGCACGTCCCTCCTTACGGGTCCCTGTTTCCTTCCTGGCTTCTCTCCATCTGCCCCACCTCACCCCACCCCCATTCTCTATCTCTTCCTCCACCAGCTTCCCCACACCCACTAACAGAAAGGAAGGCCAGCCCCTCCCCAGACAGGGCCGAGCGGACCTGGGGGGTCCCGTTTCCCATGACAGGGGGCAGATCGGGCAGCTGACCGCCCCTACCCTGAGGGAGGAGGGTGTTCCAGAGAGGGGGCCCCTCGCCTCCCCCTGAAGTCCTAACTCTTGGCTCCTCTACTGCCTCTCCCCCGGGCTAGTCTCCCCCTGGAAGAAGAAGAGTGGTGAGTGGGCACAGGACTGGCGGGGGGGCCCCCCCCCGTCCCCATCCCGCCGGCGGACTTGCCCCTCCCCGACCCGGGCCCTTCACTGCCTCTCCCCCGGGCTAGTCTCCCCCTGGAAGAAGAAGAGTGGTGAGTGGGCACAGGACTGGGGGGGGGGCCCCCCCCCGTCCCCATCCCGCCGGCGGACTTGCCCCTCCCCGACCCGGGCCCTTCACTGCCCCACTCGCGCTTGCGCACGCCCGCTGGCCGCACCCGCCGGCCACGCCCACTGGCCGAGCCCGCTCCGCCCCCTCACCCCGGGGGCGCCCCTGGACTTCATCCGCATCCTTTGCCCACAGAGTACGAGCAGCAGCCTGCGCCGGTGCCCAGCATGGAGAAAAAGCGGACCGTGTATCAGATGGCTCTCAGTAAGATGGCCCAGCCCTTCTCCCTGGGCTGCCCAGGACCCCTGACCCCACGCCCCCTGGGGTGCCGCAGTCTCTCCAACCCTCCTCCTGCCTGCGCACCCTTTGGTGCGACCTGATCACCTCTGACCTGATCACCTCATACCCCAGCCTTGCCCCAGCCATCAAGTATGAGCTCCCACCTCTGTCCTCAGCCTGGCCCGCCTTCCTTCTGCCTCCCCTCCGCCTTCCCTCCTATGACGATTTGCTGTCCTCACCCCTTCCCACCGCTGGGTCCTGCCTTCTGGGCTGGAGATTCTGTCTCCATCAGGGCCGTCAGTCCACGGGGTTGGAGGCAAGGGTGCCTTTTCCTGGTTCGTACAACATATTGTATGAGCTCCTGGCAGCTCTGTTTCTGCCCGAGGCCAAAGCAAGCTTCATTTCACTGCCTCTTCCCACCTCCCCTTAGACAAACTGGATGAAATTCTGGCGGCAGCTCAGCAGACCATCAGTGCAAGCGAGAGTCCTGGACCTGGTGGCCTTGCGTCGCTGGGCAAACACCGGCCCAAAGGCTTCTTTGCCACCGAGGTAGGCAGCCTGGACTGGGGGATGGGAGCATAATGGAGAGGAGGCTTGTGGGTGCACGCACCAACCCGGAACAAAGTCGTTCTCCCTGCAAACTTCTCCCAACCCCTCTGTGTTGAATGTCGGTCCTGGAGGGGCACCATCCTCACTGGGCCCTCTCCTTTCTCCCCACTCTGGCGGCCCCTTTCCTCTCTGCCCACCGTCTTCCTTACTCCCCTCCTAAGTCTCGTCTCTTGTTTCCTCACTCCCTGCCCCCATGTCTTGTCCATCTCCGTCCTACCTCAGGAGTCTCAGGGAAGGCATGATGTCACAGCTGGTGATCCCTGGCATCGGCCCAGCACATGGTAATAAGTGCTGAACAAGTGGGAGTTATTAAAATATTATTTATTGCCACTATCTCCACTCTGCCTGCTTTTCCCTAGGACAGAGGCTGACCTGTAATGGGTGGTGATCCTGTTTTGGACACTACATTTTACAGGGATTACCTCATTCATTCCTGGGATCATCCTGTGAGGTCCACATGGTTGTTAGCCCATTTACAGAGGGGAAACTGAGGCTCAGAGAGGGAGGCAGTATTCAATCCAGGCAAGTCAGGCAACTGGATCCATGGCCTTGGCTCTTCTGGTGGGCCTGCTGGACCCTCCCTCGCTGGCCTGCCATTGGGCTGTGCCCCTTCATGGGAACACAGCCACCACCAGCCTCCTCCCACCCTCCAGCTTCCCCTCCAGAGATCACACACGCTCTACTTCTCTCCTAGCACTCGCTTCTTCTCTGCTCGGGCCCTGCCCTCTGACCGTGCCCTCTGAACCCTTTTTCCCACAGGCCACACCCACCACCCAGTGGCCAACAGGCTATTTACTCTAAAACTGGATTCTTTGGCTTTTGAGGGACCATGGACCCCCTTGGCAGGCTGGCATAGTCCTCCTAATAATGCTTATAAACGTAAAATAAATTACCTAAGAAAACGAAAGAAACCAATTACACTGATAATACAGTTATCAAAATATTTTTTTTAAAAGCAAAATTCGTGGGGCACCTGGCTGGGTCAGTCAGTAGGGCATGGGACTCTTGATCTCGGGGTCATGAGTTTGAGCCCTGTGTTGGTCCTAGAGCTCAGTTAAACACACATACACACACACACACACACACACACAAAGTAAAAGCAAAATTTGTGATATAGAAATATCTATGCTTTTTTGTCAACACGTTAGCCAGCAAGACCTCGTGATGGATCTTAACTACTCTAACTAGTCATGAGGTGCATAAACACAATTTCAAGAGATCTGCACCTGCTGTTAAAGGATATGGGAATATCTGTGATTTCTTTTGGGGATACAGGCACAGGTCTTGCTAAGGTCGGCTTGGTTTGCTGCCTACATCCTTAATCGAGGAAATGTTTTTTCATTGGAAGATAATGACAATAAAGATGTAATTTTTTTTTCCTAGTCCAAGTGCACGGCCCCCTTGAAGTCTATCCCCAGACCTGCAAAGGGTTAGACTACCTACTTTAGAACTCCTCATACTTTGACAAGAACCAAATGAAGGTGGCAAATTTTGTACTTGGACTCAAAGAATTGCTTTCAGATGTAAAGGTGGGGGGTCCTTGGCCACTTCTCAGGGCTTGGCAGAGTGCCCTGCACGCAGTAGCCCCTCATGTCTCACCTGTCCTGAGTTTCTCAAGGAATCGGAAATCTCTGAGGCTGTGAGGATCATCTTCTGTGCCCACCTCCCCTGAAGCTCAGTGTAGACTTGGGAGTGTATGGACAGTCAAGCCAGGCAGACCTGCCTCCAAATTCTGACTTCCTCTGACTTCCTGTGTTACTTGAACCATACTACCTAATTTTTCTGCATCCTCAGTTTCCTGCTCTGTACAATAGGACTAAAGCCAATCTTGCTGGTCCTGATGAGGAGTGAATGAGATCAACTCCTAGCACAGCAGGTTCTCAACAGATGGCGAGCCCTCTTAGGCCATAAAACAAACTGGAGACCCCACAATGACTTGCCAGTGAGCCTTGCATGTGCCCCAGAGACCCTACAACAGCATATCACATGCAGAGTCTCCAAGAATAGATAGGGCAAACCCTGTTTTCATTTATTCAACAAATGGCAGCCAGCATGCCAATCCCTCCCTGTGTGAACCGTGGTTGCAGGACAGACAAGATCCCAGCCTTCATGGAATTCACCATCTGAGCTCCAAAGACACCCCTAGATGGGCCCAGACATGGGCCAATAATAACACCAGCTGCCCACGTGCCCCTCCCTCCTAGAAACGAGACTCGCAGGCATTCACCTGAGTTCTTGAATGGCATCTCCCTTCCCTCCGGGCCGTAGAGGCCAGTGGTCTTTTTCCCTGTTGGGTTTCCCTTTTCCTCTCCCTTCCAGGGTCTGGCCCTGGGCCTTCCCACAGCTCCGCCTCTCGTGTTGGGGTCTTTCGTCACCCTCATCTCTGTCCCCACCATCCCACCAGCCAGCCCGACTTCTCACACTCTAAGTCAACACAGGGGCCCCATCGTGCTCCTTCTGTGTCTCCATGGCTCACTCTCTCTGTGGTCTTGTTCTCTTCTGTTTCTCGTCTCCCATCTGCTTCAGCTTCTGTCTCCTCCTCACTGTCTCACTTGGAGCTCTGTGCACTAGACCAGAGAGGGTAAACTGGCCATGGGGGGGCGCCCAGTATTGCCCTGAGGCCTCTTTTATCAGGCCTGAGCAACAGTGAATCAGAGTAACCTATTGTACAAGGCGCCACTGTTTGGAAACTTAAGAATTGGGAGATTTCAACTTCCCTGAAAAACACCCCTCTGCACAAAACCTAACGTGGGGACATGGTACTGAGGGACCTGCCCATGTCAACAGTGGGAGTGCAGACCCCAGGCAGATCCACTGTAGGTCAAGGTGCCTCTTGGGCTGTCTCCTCCTAGGGCTCTGCTGTCCATCCATCGGTCCTCCCCTCTGTGTGGCTCTGGCTCCCTCCGCTACCGTCTCTGTTACCTGGTCACTGACCCCAAGGGGTACCCTACCTCCCCCCGCCCCCCGACTCCTGCACTGTCCTCGCTTCTGCCCATCTCTGTCTGGGTGCCAGTGTCAGCCTTTCTCTGGACTCAATTTTTCCCTCTGATTATTTTGACCATACCCTCTTGACCGCATTATCTGTCTTTTTCCCTCCTGTTTGCATGCCTGACCCTCCTGGAGCAGCTCTGGCCCCCTCCATTCAAGGCCTCTCAGGACTGCCTCTCTTCCTGCTTTGTTGGGACCCTCTTTCTTCCCATCGCTTTCTCATTTCCCCCCTGTCTGTGCCGCTCTGAATCCCCATCTCTGTCTTTGTCTATCTCTGTCTCTCTGTCTGTCTCCCCCTCCGCTCTCTCCCCCTTCACCCCTTTTCAAGGGCTGTCGCCCTGGCGCGCATTTCTCAGCCCATCTTCAGCCTCCAGCCTGTGCATAGCACCGGGGCCCACACTCTGCCCTTGAGGCATCAGACCCACCACCGGCCCACGAGGTGGCACCGGAGGAGGGCTGGACTTCCCTCTGACTCCTGCCCGCAGCCGGTGACGTCACACGCACCCGGGCACTCTGATTGGCTGCCCCCTCTGCGCGGGAGAGGACGCTACCCATTTGTGGATGGAGGTCAGCCTGTCCCACCTTGAGGCAGTGTGCCCCTCAGGCAGGCAGTCCAACGCCTCCTCAGACGCTTTTATGGCTTCTCCATCAGTCTGACATCTCCTCGGCCACTCTGACCCCTTTCATGTCAAGTTAACCCATCATTTGATCCCTCCTCTTCCACTTAGAAGTGTCTTCTGCCAGTGTGCCAATCTGACGCCTTTCCCTCACTCTACACTCTCTTCAGAGGCACAACGCCCCCCCCCGTCATTTGGAACCCTCCCCCATCACTCTACCCCCAATCATCCCCAATCCCATGCATCTACCAGATGCTTCCCTCACCTTCCTTCCCACCTCCCCATTATCCCCTTGCTCACCTTCCCCAGCCTGGACTCCGTATTCAGTGTCCTCTCCAGCCCGCTTCTGCCCTCAGGGGTCACTGCATCCTTTCTGACTGGGTCCCCCCATCTTGTCAGGGTGTCCTTCATTCTGCATATATTTACTGAGCACCTGTTATGCACTGGACATGCTGCTTGGCTCTAGGGGTGGAGGAGGGAACCAATCAAAGCCACTCCCATTAGAGAATTTACATTTGGGGACGGGGGTTGGGTTTTGCAGAAATGGGTTCTGCCGCATGTAAAAGAAACTTCCAAATAACAGTGGCTTGAACCAGAAGAGTCTTACATCTCTGTCATGTTAATGAAGTCTGGAGGAGGGAGTCCCAGGCAGGTGTGGCAGCTGCCATGGTCATGAAGACCCAGGATCCTTCTCACTTTCTGTTCCACCATCCTAGCCTTCTTTCCAACTATAAGGTCACCTCATAGTCCAAGATGGCTGGAGCTCTAGCTGTTACCCCAGCATTCCAGGTAGCAGGAACAAGGAAGAGTGGAAAGGCAGGAAAGCAAAGGAGGGCACATTGTTGCTTCTTGGGTTACCTCTGAGGAGACCTCCCCAAAGTAATACACAACCCTTGCACTTACGCGTCCCAGTTGACCTTAGTTCCGTGACCACACTCAGCTGCAAGGGAGCCTGGGAAATGTAGTCCCAATAGGTGCCAAAGGAGATTGCGGTTTCCTTACCAAGGAAGAAGAGTAGAATGGGAACTGGGTAGGCTTTGTGCCCAGGGAGACAGACAATGAGCAAGCAAGCAAATAATTATAATAACTCTACACCGGTTTAAGTGGAGGGAGTTATGATGTAGAGTAACAGACAGAAGCCTCTCCAGGGAGGAGACATCTGAAACTAACAGATTCCACCCATTATCACTTTTCTACCCCCTGTCTGACCCCATCTCCCACCTCTCAGCGCCCTGCTCACCCACTCGAGACACATCGGCCTCCTGACTATTCCTTGAGCACACCAGACTCACTCCCACCTCAGGGCGTTTACAATTGCTGTTCCCTCTGCCTGGGATACTCTTCCCCTGGGAGAGTATGCATGGCTCCCTTCTTCCGGAGATTGCTCAAATGATATCTTCACAGAAGGGCCTTCCTTGACAGCCCTATTTTAAATTATAGTCCTCCTCTCCTCCCCCCCTTCCCTCCACCTGACCCCGTTATGTTACTAATTTATTTCGTCTGCCCTCCAAAATAGACTTTTGCTTATTTTGTTGATGGCTGCATCTGCAGCATCTAAAACAGTCCCTGGCATGAATCAGGCGCTCAGTAAATATCTGTGGAATGAATGAATGAATGAATGAATGAGACAAACACAGAGATGGGCAGTCTCAATCCAGCGAGGTGTGTGCAGGGAGAGGTTAGGACAGGAGCATCCCGTGAGGGGCTAAGAGCAGAACTGTCTTGTCCAGTAGAGTTCCTGTGTTGAAGGAACTAGTCTACATCCGTGCTGTCCCATACGGCAGCCTGTGGCTGCGTGTGATGACTGAGCCCTTGAAATGTGGCCAGCAAAAACAGAGGAAGGGAGTTTTTAATTTTAATTTATTTTAATTCGTTAAAATTTACATCTGAAAGGGTGGTGGCTTATTGTATTGGGCAGTGTAGGTTTAGAGAGGAAGGGAGACGGCAGGCCAGAGTGGGGGCCGGGGTGACAAGTCTTCCCAAGCAGAGCAGGGGGAAAGGATGTTCCAGGCAGAGGGAACAGCGTATGCGGAGGCCCCGAGGTGAGAAACAGCACAGGAAATTGAGAGAGCGGGGGAGTACTTAGAGCAAGGGGGCTGGAGGGTGCATGATGGGAGGTGAGGGCAGTAAGGTGGGGACTTCATCCAAAAAGGGTTTCCTTTCTCTGCACTTCTGGCCTCAAAGACAGAGAAGAGCAACATCCAAGGTCACCTGGCAGAAGCAAGGGAGTCAGTGCCTGATGTTGGCTCATTCTCCTTTAGTCACTGTTCATTTGACACAAGCTTATAGAACATCAGGTCCTGGTTGGGGACTGGGGACCCAGCAGTGAAAGAGACCAACAACGTTGCTACCATCAGGCAGGGTGTTAGGATTCCATGGGCCTTTGGCACTTTTACCTTCATAAGCCCCTCTGTGTTGGAGCAAAGATGAATATTATCATCCAGGCTGGATTCTGTTCATTTCCCCCCCTCTGATTTTAAAGGAAACGAAAATATTTTCCCTGCAGGTGTTGTGGGCTGGAGATCCTGTACCTCTGGTGCCTTCAGGGAGCTGACATTCTAGGCAGGGAGTCAGGAAGGAAGCAAGTAAACAAGTCATCTCAGATGGAAATGAGTGCCCTAAGGAAAACAGGACAGGAAAAGTGCAGTAGACACTGACTGGGAGGGACCTTTGAGTAGAGGACGTAAAGGCGGAAAGGAATGTGTGACGATGAGGAGAAAATGTTGCAGAGAGCAAATGCAGGACTTGCAAGCGTTCTAAAGCAGGGATGGACCTCGGGGCATTGAAGGAGCAGGACTGGTGGACACGGTGGACCAGAGTGAGCAGGTAGGAGATGTAGGCAGGGCTAGATTGTACTGGGCACCTGGGTTTCCTGTAGCAGGAGCCTGAGATGGGGATTCCTGCACCAACAGTATCCTAAGGGGAGAATTATAAGGGAGTGATGGAGGCAAGGTGGGCTGCGAGAGGTCAGCAAACGTGTTCCCCGCTGGAGTTCCCTTTCAGCCTGATCCCTGGGAGAGTTTGAATTGCACCACGGAGTTGATCCTGCCTTGGATGTCTGTGTCAGTCTATCCTTGGCTGCAGGCTGCTCCCAGGAGTAGGGGGACATAACTACTTGGGCCCATCAGCTCCTTTGGAGGAGGGGGATTCTTTAGAGCCAGGGGCAACAGAGAGGCCAGGCAGGTGACACTCTCAGCAGCTGGGGATGGTCACTGCATCCCAGTCAAGGGGATGTGGGTGCGCGTGCCAGCAGTGTCTACCACAGACCACAACTCAAGACCGGAGTTGGGAATTCCGATCCCCTCCTGAATGGTGATGTGGGATGCTCCTGTAGGATTTTTTTTTTTAAGATTTTATTTATTTATTTGAGAGAGAGAGAGAGAATGAGAGGGGGGAGGGTCAGAGGGAGAAGCAGACTCCCCGCTGAGCAGGGAGCCTGATGTGGGAGTCGATCCCGGGACTCCAGGATCATGACCTGAGCAGAAGGCAGTCGCTTAACCAACTGAGCCACCCAGGCGCCCCGCTCCTGTAGGATTTTAAGCAGGGCAATCGCATGACCTGGACTTCTTTTTGAAAGATCCTTCTGACTCTTATGTGGCAAGCAGACCAGAAAGCGGGGGTGGGGGGGGACAGGGTGGCAGCAGGGAGACCGGGGAAAAGGCTGGGGCAGCCAGCGAGCCAAGCAATGCTGGTGACTTGGACCTGGGTGGGGGGTTTGACAGCAGGAATGGAGAAAAGACCCAGAATAGTAATCGGTATGGGAAGCAGAGCAAACAGGGCTGCCTGAGAAACTGCTTTCTTTTCCTTTCTTTCTCCCCGCTGCCCAAACTCAGACACCTTTCTCTCCCCCAGAATCCCCTTTTGCCTCCTGCATTCCTCTCACCCTTCCTGCAGAGGCTTGGAGAAGCCTTGGGGGCTGGCTGTATGGTGAAGCCATGAATCTTCACACCCAGACTGATCTTTCTCTGTTGTCTTTTTTCTCTGACTGCCACCCCAAAGTCAAGCTTCGATCCGCACCACCGCTCGCAGCCAAGTTATGAACGTCCTTCTTACCTGCCTCCAGGACCTGGGCTTATGCTCCGGCAAAAATCTATTGGTATGTCACCTGGACGGGTGGGTATAACGGATGCCAGCAGGGGAGGGGGAGGCTGGGAGAGTGACAGTTTATGGGCGGAATGAAGGGGCTTTGAAATGTCCTTTTCTACTTCCATATATGACGACAGTTCCATCAAGCTGGGCAAAGAGCTCAGGCTTTGTTTTTGGGCAAACCTGGGTTTGAATTCTGGCTCTTGTCCCTCCTGGCTGTGTGACCTGGAACAAGTAGCTTCACCTCTCTGGGCCTTGGGTTCTGCATCTAGAAAATGGGCATGTTATTGTTCCTGCCTGGATGCAGTGAGTCGAAGCCCCCACCACCTAGTTTCTTCTCTCCTATACCTGACTTCATTCATGCATGCATCCATTCTAGAAATGTTTACTAAGCACCCAGCCTAAGTCCTAGACTGCTGGGGATATGTCAGTGAACAAAACAGAGGAAAGGGTCCTGCCCTCCTGGAGCTTGCCTTCTAGCAGGGGAAGACAGACAATAGATTATAAGGATAAGAAACAAGACAATTGTATAGTATGTTGACAGTGGTAAGTTCTGTCTGGTGGGGGGGAGGGTGCGGGGGGAGCAGACTAGAATAAGAGAGATCAGGAGTGCTGGGAGGCAGATATGAGCCAAAACATGGAAATGAAGGGGGAGAGCCATGTGGATATACGGTGATAAGGTATTCCAGGTAGTGAGAACAGCCAAGACAAAGGTCCTGAGGTAGGACTGAGCCATTTGCTCAGATCAGGGGGACTATGGGGTGGGAGGCGATCAGCACAGCTGGGGGCCTGCTAAGTTTCAGATGCCCGTGAGACATCCAATTAAGTGGATATGGCATTTCGATATAGGAGCCTGGAGCTCAGGGGAGAGGGCTGAGCCCCAGGACAGATGTGGGCGTCTTCAGCAGAGAGATAGTGAATGAAGCAGCATATAGCTTGAGATTGCCAAAGGAGAGAGAGTAGTCAGAGGGGAGAAGAGGGTCAAAGACTGAGCCCTGACAGTGATAAGTAGGCAAAAGACTTTGCTCTTCCCAATCCACTCCGAGTCCTTTTGCTGATTGGGTCTAGCTTTTCTCCCACTTCCAGCGTCCACAGTCCATCAGTGTGAGTCTTGCATCTGTGAGGTCTACCTGTACCTCCTCATTTACCTCCTCTCAACTACCTGTAAAGCCACCCATAATTGCTTACCTATAAATCGGCTCTCTCTAGTAAACGTTAGCCTCATCCTAAGCAGTTCCGTCTGTGAAAGCACAGGTTTGATGTGCTAATTACGTTTTATTTCGGCGTATACATGAAAAGAAATCTATAACTGTGCACCTAAACATGGCGTCTTTCCCGGGCTCCAGCCACTTTTGCTCACCCCAAGCCACCGCCAGTATAGGCTGTGTCTTTGTGGGAATTAGAAAATGGCGCCCCCTCCTGGCGTGGGGAGGAAGTTCAGCTGAATGTCGCCCCCACCTCCCCTTGCTCCCTCTGCCGGTTGCTGATGTGCAATGCACAGCCTGGTCATCAAGCCGATTTACCACAGCTGGGGAACTCACACTCATTCGTGTGAGGGTCTTAGCATATATTCAGTGGCGTCGTATTATTAATTATTATTATTATTATTATTATTATTATTATTTCATTAATATTGTAGCACTATGGGATAGGGGAGGAGGGAAACCCCCTCCCCCCACTCCTGTATCCACTGTCTCTTCCCCAGGGGCTGCAGAAGATGATAGACCCTACCTAGCACCCCCAGCCATGAAGTTCAGCCGCAGCCTGTCTGTGCCTGGCTCGGAGGACATCCCCCCGCCGCCCACCACGTCCCCACCGGAGCCCCCCTACAGCACACCTCCAGCCCCCTCCTCCTCTGGCCGCCTCACCCCATCCCCCAGAGGAGGGCCCTTCAACCCCAGTTCGGGTGGCCCCCTCCCCTCCTCTTCCCCAGCATCCTTTGATGGACCCTCCCCTCCCGACACGCGTGTAGGGGGCCGTGAGAAGAGCCTGTACCACAGCGGGGCCCTGCCCCCCGCCCACCACCACCCGCCGCACCACCACCACCATCACGCCCCGCCCCCCCCGCCTCATCACCACCACGCCCACCCCCCTCATCCCCCGGAGATGGAGACCGGCGGCTCCCCCGACGACCCCCCACCCCGACTGGCTCTGGGGCCCCAGCCCAGCCTGCGCGGCTGGCGGGGCGGCGGGCCCAGCCCCACCCCGGGCGCCCCGTCCCCGTCGCACCACGGCAGCGGGGGCGGGGGCATCAGCTCCTCCCAGGCCCCGGCCCTGCGCTACTTCCAGCTGCCCCCCCGGGCGGCCAGCGCGGCCATGTACGTGCCAGCCCGCTCGGGCCGCGGGCGCAAGGGGCCCCTGGTCAAGCAGACCAAAGTCGAAGGCGAGCCTCAGAAGGGCGGCGGCCTCCCTCCCGCCCCCTCGCCCACGTCTCCGGCGTCCCCGCAGCCGCCGCCGGCCGCCCCGTCGGAGAAGAACTCCATCCCCATCCCCACCATCATCATCAAGGCTCCGTCCACCAGTAGCAGCGGCCGCAGCAGCCAGGGCAGCAGCACCGAGGCGGAGCCCCCCACCCAGCCCGAGGCTGCGGGCGGCGGCGGCGGCGGCGGAGGCTCCTCGGCGCCGAGCCCCGCCCCGGCCATGTCGCCGGTGCCGCCGTCGCCCTCGCCCGTGCCCACCCCCACCTCGCCCAGCGGCCCGGCCACCCTGGATTTCACCAGCCAGTTCGGAGCGGCCCTGGTGGGGGCGGCCCGGAGGGAAGGGGGCTGGCAGAACGAAGCCCGCCGGCGGTCCACGCTCTTCCTCTCCACCGACGCGGGGGACGAGGACGGCGGCGACAGCGGGCTGGGCCCAGGGGCGCCCCCGGGTCCCCGGCTGCGCCACTCGAAATCCATCGACGAAGGCATGTTCTCCGCCGAGCCCTACCTGCGGCTGGAGTCTGCGGGCGCGGGGAGCAGCGGCGGCGGCTACGGGGCTTACGCGGCGGGCAGCCGCGCCTACGCGGGCAGCGGGAGCAGCAGCGCCTTCACCAGCTTCCTGCCGCCCCGACCCCTGGTCCACCCGCTGACCGGCAAGGCCCTGGACCCCGCCTCCCCGCTCGGGCTGGCCCTGGCCGCCCGAGAGCGGGCGCTGAAGGAGTCCTCGGAGGGTGGTGGGCCCCCCCAGCCCCCTCCAAGGCCCCCATCGCCCCGCTATGAGGCCCCGCCGCCCACCCCACACCACCACTCGCCCCACGCCCACCATGAGCCAGTGCTGCGTCTCTGGGGGGCCTCACCACCGGACCCCGCCCGCCGGGAGCTGGGGTACCGGGCAGGGCTGGGCAGCCAGGAGAAGTCCCTTCCGGCCAGCCCTCCAGCCGCGCGACGCTCCTTGCTGCACCGCTTGCCCCCCACGGCTCCTGGGGTCGGGCCCCTCCTCCTGCAGCTGGGGCCAGAGCCCCCGCCCCCGCACCCCGGGGTGAGCAAGGCGTGGAGGTCCGGGGCCCCCGAGGAGCCCGAACGGCTGCCCCTACACGTGCGGTTCCTTGAGAACTGCCAGCCCAGAGCCAGTGGGGCGGGGGGAAGGGGACCCCCCTCGGAAGACGGGCCGGGAGTTCCGCCGCCCAGCCCACGCCGGTCCGTACCGCCCTCGCCGACCTCCCCGCGAGGCAGTGAAGAGAATGGGCTTCCCCTGCTAGTCCTGCCGCCCCCTGCTCCCTCGGTGGATGTGGAAGACGGTGAATTCCTCTTCGTGGAACCGCTGCCCCCGCCTCTGGAGTTCTCCAACAGCTTCGAGAAGCCAGAGTCGCCCCTCACGCCTGGGCCTCCCCACCCGCTGCCGGACCCACCCACCCCAACCACCCCCTTGCCCCCCGCGCCACCACCTGCTATTGCTGCCGCGCCTCCCACCCTGGACTCCACGGCATCCAGCCTGACTTCCTATGACAGTGAGGTGGCCACACTGACCCAGGGGGCCCCCGTGGCTCCTGGGGACCCCCCTCCGCCAGGCCCGGCGGCCCCGGCGGCCCCGGCTCCCCCGGCCCCACAGCCTGGCCCGGACCCACCGCCGGGCACAGATTCCGGTATCGAGGAGGTGGACAGCCGGAGCAGCAGCGACCACCCTCTGGAGACCATCAGCAGCGCGTCCACCCTGAGCAGCCTCTCTGCCGAAGGCGGTGGCAGCGCCGGAGGTGGTGGTGGCGGCGGGGCCGGGGGCGCCGGTGTGGCCAGTGGGCCAGAGCTTCTGGACACATACGTGGCCTACCTGGACGGCCAGGCCTTCGGGGGGAGTGGGACTCCCGGCCCACCGTATCCCCCGCAGCTCATGACTCCTTCTAAGCTCCGGGGCCGGGCTCTGGGGACCAGTGGAGGCCTGAGGCCCGGCCCTAGTGGGGGACTCCGGGACCCTGTCACTCCCACCAGCCCCACCGTCTCGGTGACAGGGGCTGGAACGGATGGGCTGCTGGCCCTGAGCGGTTGCACGGGACCCTCAACGGCGGCTATGGCTGGGGGTCCGGTGGCTATCGAGCCGGAAGGCCCGCCGGTGCCCTTGCCATCGGCCTCCTCTCTGCCTCGGAAGCTGCTGCCCTGGGAGGAGGGCCCCGGCCCCCCGCCACCACCCCTGCCCGGGCCCCTGGCCCAGCCTCAGGCCTCAGCCTTGGCCACAGTAAAAGCCAGCATCATCAGTGAACTCAGCTCCAAGCTTCAGCAATTTGGGGGCTCCTCGGCAGCTGGTGGCGCTCTGCCCTGGGCCCGGGGAGGCAGCGGGGGAAGCGGGGACAGCCACCACGGGGGAGCCAGCTACGTCCCTGAGAGGACCGCTTCCCTGCAGCGGCAGAGGTGAGCCGGGGCTGATGGTTGGTGACAGAGGCCACAGGGGCCAATGCTGTGGGCACCAGAGCCTACCTTCCCCAGAGCTGCGTCCTTTGAGGGTCCCAGGTGGCAGAAAGAAAGCAGAAACGAGGCTGGCTTGCAGAAGTCCGTCCTCAGAAAAGCATGCTTGCACAGATAGTTTATCTCAGTAGCTTTTGTGCTCTCTTCCCATCACCATGACAACCCACGTCCCATGATGAACAAAAAAATTATTGACAAAAGAGATTGGAGCACAACTTGCCGATGTCTGTTTCCTTGGTGGGCTGTCAGTTCTGACAGTCCCTGAAATCTGTGAGTCCCTTGAACCCGGTGTGGCTCAAGATTAAGATGCTTTAGGGCGCAGTGGTTTGGAGTGTGGGTCTGGAGCCGGGCTTCCTGGGCTTTCGTCTCAGCCCTGGACTTCTAACTGGGTGACCTGAGGCAAAGGAATCCACCTCTCTGTAGAAGGGGGACAGCATTGGACCCACCTAAAGGCTTTTTGAGAGGATTAAATGCGGGCCATTGTTGTCACACAAGTTGGGGGAGGGGGGGGGCCTCTTACCAAAGCCCAGGAAGCATAGATGGGAAAATGTGGGATAGTGGAGAAGTTTCCTAAAGCAGCTAGCTCAGCCAGGATCACCACAAAGTTCGAGCTCGTTCAAGACCTTCTAGTCTTAGGGAAAGTAGAGTCACGTTCCTGATTCAGGCACACGGAGAGAGTGAGGAGAGGTTTCTTAATCCCCCTGCCCTTGTCCTTCTGCTGAGTCCACTCTAACTCTGAGGGTCTGATGACCTTATGGTGATATTTGAATGTGGTTTCATCAGGCCTTTGAGATCTTAAGGCGACTGTCCGATTATTTTTTAAGTATTCTGGGTGAAGGAGAGGATGCTTAATGTAGGCGACAGGTGCACCAGCTATTGATTTACCACCTGCTGTACGCTGGGTGCCCTTCTGGGTGACGGGGACCCCATGGGGGACAGGACGAGCAAAGCCCCGCCCTCATGGAGCTCATGGTCTAATGAAGCAGGGATGGGGGATGGTTAGAGAAGGCCTCTCAAACAACCAGCAAGATGAGCAGAAACCGGAGGAAGGGAGAGAGCAGATCCCATGGCTACCTGGGGGAAGTGAGCTAGGCCAAGGGAACAGCCAGTTCAAAGGCCCTGAGGCAGGACTGTTCTGAAGGGAGCGAAAGGGATGAGGGGAACCTTTTTCTCCCCTTGTTTCTTCTCTCTTTCATCTCCCTCTCCTCATCTCTCTCCCTCTCTCTCTCTCTCTCTCTCTGTCCCCTGTCCCCTTCCATCTCTCTCCCCTGAACGCTCACCCTCTTTTTGTTCCTCTCTTTCACCGTCTCCCTGTCTTCCACTCTGCTGTGACTGGCCATAACCCGATAGGCAGTATAGAGTAGTGGTTAAGAGCTCAGACTTTGGTGCCATATAACTGGGCTCTGCCACTTCCTGGCTGTGTGTCCTTAGGCAAGTTACTTAACCTCTCTGTGCTGCTGATAATAATAGTAACCTGCATCAGGGCTGTCCTGGGGAATACACTGAGATGCGATATGTAAAGCACTTAGAACAATGCCTGGCACACGTGAGCATCAGTAAGTGGTGGCGATTATTATTATTATCACTTAATGTCTCTTTTTCTTTCATCTCTCTTGACTGTCACCCTCTCCCTGTCCTCTCGTTTCTTCTCTCCCTTCATTTCTGTCCTGACATCTGTCTTACCCCCTCGCTCCCTCTATCTCTTCCCACCTCTCTGCTCCACCTCTCTACCCCTGCTCCTGTCTCTCTTCTCTCCCTACGTCTTGACCTCTGCCTCTTTCTCACCGCACCATTGCCCTCCAAACCCCCTTCCTCCACCCCTGCCCCTTTGTCACCTCCAGACTCTCTGAAGACTCCCAGTCCTCGCTCCTCTCCAAACCCGTCAGCAGCCTGTTTCAGAACTGGCCCAAACCACCTCTGCCGCCACTCCCCACAGGAAGCGGGGTCCCCCCTTCAGCCGCCGCAGCTCCAGGGGCCACCTCACCCTCAGCCTCCTCCTCCACGTCTACCCGCCACCTCCAGGGTGTGGAGTTCGAGATGCGGCCGCCTCTGCTCCGCCGGGCCCCCAGCCCCTCACTGCTGCCCGCCTCGGAGCACAAGGTCAGCCCTGCGCCCAGGCCCTCGTCCCTGCCCATCCTGCCTTCCGGACCCCTGTATCCGGGCCTCTTTGACATCCGCAGCTCCCCAACCGGAGGGGCAGGAGGCTCAGCTGACCCTTTCGCCCCTGTCTTTGTGCCACCACACCCCGGGATGTCCGGGGGGCTGGGTGGAGCCTTGTCAGGGGCCTCCCGCTCCCTCTCACCAACCCGCCTGCTTTCGCTGCCCCCGGACAAGCCCTTCGGCGCTAAACCTCTGGGGTTCTGGACCAAGTTCGACGTGGCTGATTGGCTGGAGTGGCTGGGCTTGGCTGAGCACCGAGCACAGTTCCTGGACCACGAGATCGATGGCTCCCATCTGCCCGCCTTGACCAAGGAGGATTACGTCGATCTGGGTGTGACCAGGGTGGGCCACCGCATGAACATCGACCGGGCTCTCAAATTTTTCCTGGAGAGGTGATGGCTGGCCTGGACGGACCAGCCCCGTCCACAGAAGCCTGGAGCCTACTGGCCTCTTGACCTCTGACCCCTGACCGTCATTCTCTCCCCCTGGGCCAGGGACTCTGCTAGAACTGTGCCCCGCCCTCCTCTCCCAAGGCCGGAGGTCACCAGGTGGCCTGATCCTGGCCAGACATTTGCACCTCACAGGAGGGGGCAGCTGACACGAGACTGTGTGTGAAGCAGGGAGCAGGGGGGAGGTGATGGAGGAGATCACAGAGGGGGATGGAGAAGGAGGGAAGGGTCGGTTCTGGGTAGGGGGAAACAGACAGAGCCATAGAGGGTCAGCCCTGAGCCTGATTGGATGGGGGTTGTCCCCGGCCGCAGGGGAAGGGGGTGCCCTCAGATTCCACCACCTGCCGCCCCTCTAACAACCCTTCCCCCCCTCTCCAGGCCCCTGGGCTCTCCCTATGCACCCTCCCCTCTCCCCAGCACACACAGCGGCCACCGCCCCCACCCCACCCCCGCCCCGGCCTCTTGCACGCTCCTTTGCACGCCTGCTTGCCTCTCCTGTCCCTGGGCTACAATTTTGCACAAATTTGCCCTCTCGCTGTCTTGCACACTCCGCCTTGGCTTCTGGCTCGCGAGGCCCTCTCAGCGCTCAGACACGCCCTGTTTCCCTAGCACACATTGCATTTCTTCTCCCACGTTCCGTACCCTTACTGTCTCAAACTCTCGTCTGTGTACTCTTCCCTTGGTACCCTCTCTTACACACCTCACTCCTGAAAATCTCTAAACCCTTGCTGCAGACACACTTGGGACACCCTTTTCCCTACCCACTCACAAACTCTGTGCGCACATACTTATTCTGTGGAACACACCTGCCTTTATTCAGCTCTTGCACACTTGCTATCCCATGCACAGCTCCTGACACGCTTGCGCCCATTGTCTTTAAGCATTTCCCCTTCTTGTTTTCGAACCCCCACGTTCTGACTCTCCCCACCTCTCCCCCTCACGGTGACACTCCCACGCCCTTCCCTGCCCCTCCCCTCCCCACGCCATCTCTTCTTATCCCCCATCCTGTACACCTGCCTCCCAGGAACTGCTTCTCTCTCAAATGCTCGTTCCCTTCCTCTTTGCCAGGCCCCCACTCCTGTGCACCCTTCTTTTCCAAATCTGTGTCCTGCTTCATTCTCAACTCTTCTGTGAACTTTCTTGCACACTCAACTCTTGCACACACGTCCTCCCCAGCACTTCCGCTGCTCTTGAAGCCATGTTCCTTTTCTAACAATGTTCCTGCATACCATGGCTTTGCCGCACACTCATTCCTGAATTTCTCCCTGTTCTTACTGGCTCCTTGGTGACTGTTTCCATCTCCCTGGGGGGGAACTCGACTGTCTCTCTCCTTTTGCACACTTGTCTCCTTCCACACACTCTTGGGCTGTACTGTCATTTCTTTTCCTAGCGTCCCTATTTTTTGTGCCTGTGGAGGAACAGCTCTTGCAGACATTCTTACCCTGCCTGTTTTCTCACCTCTTGGACACTCCTTTCTCCTGTCCAGAGAAGACCCTGTGCACACTCCCCTCTTGCTCACCATGCCTCCACGCTTCCTCCTCTCCTTGCTCCAGTCCGTGACCCACATCCCCCCTCCTCACTCTTCCTAGTTCTTCCTGGACCGTCTCTCCATCCATTTTGCACGAAGATTCCCCCACCCCCACCCCTAACCTTTCCTTCTCTCCAAGAAAACACCTTCTCCCTCCAGCATGGCTGTTCCTTCCTGCACGCTTCCCCCCTCCCTTTATTCCTGGGGCTTAGGGAATTTTAAGCCACCCCTTCCCCTGGGAAGCCCCCTCTCCTACTGTGGGTAAAGGGGGGAGGGCATCGCCCTCAGGTCCCCCCCATGTTCAGCTGCCAAAGAAGGGAGCTCCCCCTCCTTTCCCCAAGCCCATTCCCCCTCTGCTGCCCCCTACCCCCGAGGGGGGGGCGCTCCGTCCATGGGGGGGGAGGGTGCTTGCAGCCCTCTCCCCTCACCACGTCAGGGATCTGCGGGGAACCTTGTGGGAGGGTCCTGGGAGGGGGGAGGGGTGAAAGGAGGGGGCAGAGGTCGCGCTGGGCCCCTACCCGCCCCCTCCCCCTTGTCGGATGCCCCCCATCCGCAGGGGGCCTGCGCGGCGCCCGTCTATCAAGGGCTTGTTCATTCTGGATGGGTGCCGCGGGGTTGGGGAGGGTGTAGGGGGTGGGGGGGGAGGAGAGGTCGGGGTGGGAGGGGGAAGGGACTGGATGGGGGCAGCGCGGGGCGGAGAGGTTAAAGCAAAAAGAGGAACAATAACAAAAGAAAATACAAAAAAAAAAAAACCAACCCTAGAACACATAAAAAAATATCCAGAAAAAAAAAAAAACCTGAAATAAAAGCCCGAGAATTGTCTTCCAAGGGGGGGTGGGAGGAGAAAAGAGGAGGGGGGCGGATGAAGACGTCTGGTTCTCTCTGAGACAGGGATCGGCATGGGTTGAAAGCCCCGGCGCCCGGGTCTTCCCTCTCGCGAGCCTCGGTTCATCTTTCAAGGGATTGGGACCCAGGCGTCCATTTGCAGGGACTGGGGGAAGATGAGGGAGGCGGGATTATATTGTGGGGGCTCATCCCTACCCCCCATCACCTCCCTTCCCCTGACTCCCCACCAAGATTTTGCAGAGAGAAATGGCTTTTGTACCAGGTCATTCTTTATAATTAAACTCACAGTATCCACCCCCCTCGAGCCGGCCCCGCCTCCTTCCTGGGGAGGCAACGCCCCCTTCCCTCCGGGGTTCCGGGTGGGTAGCCCGAGCCAGCGGGGCGGTGTACAGGCGCAGCCGGGCCCCGCCCCCTAAGTGTTAGTCTTCCTCGGTCGGCTCCGCCCCCAGGGCCTCGAGCATGCGCCGCCGGACAAGGGAGCGGCGCAGGTGCAGGCGGTAATCCGCCAGCAGCAGCTCGTCGTGGCGCACCAGCGGGTGTGCGTTCCCGCGGAGGCGGATGCCGCAGCGCAGCAGACGCGAGCGAGTCTGGAAGTCCGTGACCGTGATGAGCCACCTGTGAGGGGGCGGGGCCAAGAGGACAGGGACGGGGCGGAGACCGAAGCGAATCGCTGGTGGTCCCCGCCCCGCCTTTGATTGTCGGAGGGTCCCTGCCTGGTCCATGTTCGTTTACCCACTCCGGTTGCTCAACTCGTCGCTCTGTCCCTAAACCCCTCTGCAGTCCTGCCCTCTCGCTGAGGTCAACCCGTACTTCGATCCTTACGCGGGTGATTCTAGGTCCGGTATTCTCTCAGCCTGGTCCTGTCCCCTAATTGTGGTCTGTCGAGGCTCCATCTCTTCAAACCGCCCCTCCAGGGCTGGGCCCTTCAGTGTGTCTCTCAGGCCCGTGCCCTGATTTACGTTTCTCCCGGCCTCGCCCCCAACTACACTCTCCAGGCCGCTGGCCCTCCAGATCTCTCCTGGCCCCACCCCCTCAATGTGCTGGGTCCAGGCTCCGACCCCACACCTCGGTTTTAATCTGTCCAGGTCGCTCAAAGTCCATTTCCTCACTCCAGATTCCGCCTTCTCTCTGATCTCACCTGGCCCTGCCCCCTCACCGCGCTCGCTCTCGGCTGGAGCCCCTTCCCGGTTCACTTCACTCCACTCTCAGCCGGGTCGTCCGGCCCTTGCACCAACCAGGTCCCTCTCCAGACCACACAGCTTTCCTTTCCCGGCCCCGCCCACTCAGCGCCTAGGCTCCGGCTCCGCCCCTCTCCCCCGCGCTCTCTGGGCCACACTCCTCAGCTCCCCCGCTCCTGGCCCAGCCTCTCTTGTTCCCTCTCGGCCCCGACCCCCGCCGCAGGCTCACCTGTCCCGGCGCCCCGCAGTCCCACAGATGACATTCATATTTTCAAAGCGGATGCTGCTCACGCGCCCGCTCTCCATGGCGCCGGGTAACTCGGCCTCCAGAGCCTCCAGCACCTCCAGGTGGGTAAGGTCCTCCTCTGGCTGGAGGAGTCAAGAGAGAGAGCCTCAGCATGTGACACTAAGGTTCAGTCCAGGTTCCCAAGTCCCCACCTTAGACCCACTTGCAGGACCTGCCAGAATCCCAGGTGGCATTTGAGAGGCAAGGTTCACACTCGATCTCAGGATCCTATCGCTGTAGTCAAAGCGGGGAAGACAGGTATCTCTGAGGTAGAAAAGCATCTACCTGTCACTCTAGGTCATTCTCCAAAAAATCACTTCTCACCAAGCCGATTTGCCAATGAACAGTTGGCTTACATGATTCGCCAATTTGGCCAATTTTACCAAGCTACCAAAAACTTTTCCAGCCACCTGCACTGGATGGCAGGCTTTGAGCAGCTCTTGAAGATCCCGCAAGGCTTAAAGTTGCACACTTTTCCTTTTATGTTCCTATTAAGGAATGTTCAGTTGTAAATAATAATAATAATAATAATAAGGATCATCAAGAATGAGTTCTTGTCATTCAGAAACATTGACGACTAAGCACATTTTCAGCATGAGATTACCATGTGGAAGGTGATACACCATGGTCATAACATATAAAATTGCTGATGAACTAGGATGAAATCATGAAATTGGTCACCTCCAGGAAGGCAAGCTGTGGGTGTGGGGGCGGGGAGGAGGGGGGGTCCCCTGTTCAGAGCCACAAAGAAGAGGAGGGATGGGCTGGGAATTGGTTCCTGTAACAAGGACAACAATCTCTGTGTTGGGCTAAAGTCACCCAGGTCCGCTGAGGGAGTACCTCTGAGGCCTGTACCTGGCACATGGAAGCATCCCATTAAGGCGCTTTTAATTTAGTCTGAGAACCTAGTAGATACGTTCTCTGACTGATGGTAGAGATTACCAACAGATTGTACACTGAATGACATGCACGGAATCTGCCCAAAATGGGCTTTATCCTGAGTCTTTGCTATATTTGCAAACTTTACAGAATTTCATGGTAGACAAATTAACAGGACTCCCTGTGTCCGCAGTCTCCCTGCTCTCTACCTTTCAATCTCTGCCCTTCTCTGCCCCTCTTTCTCCCCCTCTCTCTGCCTCTCTGGGATCAGCAGCGATCAAAGTGACGATTGGTCCTTTGACGAACTCATAATCAAGTTTTAGCAACCTAAAACCTGGTGCCAAGCCCACGGCTGGTAAGCCGCAGAGCC